TTACACCTCAATTCTTCCAAATCATTAATTATCATATTTATCTGGCTCCATTCTTCAAGTCTTACACGCAACTGGCATCTCTGTTTAGATCCCCATACCTCGCCACGCCCACTTAATTATGCTCCCCTTTTCAAATATCACGACTCACTACATATTCATTTTGTATATATGCACATATGACTCCGTCTAGATGCATGTATGCATATAGTGAAGAGCAGCCATAGGTAATTAGACATATAGAAATCTTAAGAGAATGTTATCCAATCAAAGCTTATCCTATATAGCTGTCATTTGTGCGAAATAATAGGATAACGTCAGATTAGACGGCTTGGAGTATAGCATACAGCATATATGGACAAATATAGCACAAGATAAACGTTATTACCGTTCAGAGCTTGTTTATTTTGAGCACCGTCCCTATTCCTCACCCACGCCTCTTGCCTCTCTTCTTTCTTCCCTGTATGTATCCTCTCTCTCAAATCAATCTCACACCGCCCTTGATCATTTCAACAGTGGTGTCGTCCTTTAATTAGACTAGATAGCTCCTTATTCAAGTCGTGTGTGTGCGCGCGTGATGTGGGCCTTAGCTATAGGGATAGTAGTTAGATATAATTAACGAGGAGCTGATCTTTAGCTGCCACTATTATATATTGCGAAATGATCATTAATACTCAAACGTGAGAGCTGTTTAGAAAGACTAGCCACTCTCAATTTGTTTGCCCGTGTTTATTAATTCGTACACAACCAAGGCCGTAAAAAATTGACCTGTTCTTGGCAACCTCGACGACAGAGAGAGTTTGTTGGACAGAGAATTAAATTAAGTCAGGTCATAATACAAACTATCCCCATATCAGAACCCTAATGTATATGGTAATTAAGTGGATGAACAAGTCAATTGAAGTAAGCATTTGCTTCTTTAAAGCACAATCAAACATGACTATCCAATCTCGATGGCATGAAGAGATTTCTGATCATGGAGCTAATGAACGAATCATTTCTCAGTAAGTGTGATGACTTCAATAATGGGGTTCACAATACGCACTAACTTGCCCCAACACTACTGCGCTAGTTTCATCCTACAAATATTAAAGCCTTTATGCTGATGCTGTTATAATTTATTTTTACAAGGGGGAAGTCGTGAGTTTAATTCCACGTGTCAATTTAAACTCTCAGTGCCTGCTCTTCTGGTCAAAATAAAGTAAGGCCCTTTGAGAATAATTAGGATTTCGCCAACTGTATTAACTTGATGACATAACTATTTTGATGAAACCCTCTTTGATACTCTTTCTTTTTTTTCTTTTGGCTTGGTCTCAATAGTCAAACTCTGAACCTTTAAATAACCAGAGAATTACAATAAAATTTTAAGAAAAATAATAATAATTAGTAAATTCTAATAATAAGTAAACAGTTGTCATTTCACGTACTAAAACTTGTCATTGCAAGGGACTTTTAATGATGATGTTCATTCTTTCTGGATTTTATGGTAAGTTTTCCTAAATTAAATTAAATTAAATTAAATTAAATCCTCATGAACTTAACATGAAGACTAAATTAGATGCTTAAATTTAAGAAATAAATTTTATAATTAATAATTTATAAATACTATAATTGATTAGAATTTTAATATTTTAATATGGGTATTACAAAAAAAAAACGTGATATAATGAAAGTTTACAACAACGGACAAAAAATTCTGGGATATAAAAGAATATAAATAAAATACGATGGAAGAATTGAAATCGATGAGTCATGGAGAAAGATAATGAGTACGTGGCAAATGGAAGCCCATCACTGTTCGCACCTCTTCTCTGTTGTTCCTCGACCTCGACCTCGACCTCGACTTCAGCCCTGTTCATGGCGATTCCTTCTGTCCCCAGCCCCTTCACCTCCCCACTTCTACAACCCTAAATCATTATTTCTCACTCGTATCTACTTCTCCACTAAGTACCCTCGTTGGGATTCCAATGCTGAAGCCGTCCGAGACCGGAAATTCAACTTCAATTTCCGAGGCAAAGGTGCGGACGAGGACGAGGACGACGACGAAGAAGAATATGAGAAGAAGAGACGGTGGTGGTGGTCCGATGAGCCCCCGGAATTTGAGGAAGAGACAAGCTGGACCTGGGAAGATGCCATTGACAGCGTATGGATTTTCAAGGTGAATCAATTTTACTTCGGTTATTGAGCTGACTTTATGTTTGCTTGTCTTTTTACTGGGGTTTTAGTTAATTTTGGTATTTTCACGATGCCCGGAATTGCGAATCTCAGAATAATGTGCCAGTTTATCCTGAAGAATATAACAGCCTCTTGATTGCATGCTAATCGACAGTCTGTCCTAATAAAGAAGAAATGATTTGTCATTTCAACAAGAGATTTCCTGCTTCAGCCATCACCATTAGTTTACAAAGGCGTAATTTTGATTCAATATCTGGACTTTTGATTAGCACATTCCGCAAGATAACAGTGCCGTGAGGGATGAAAGAGAGATAGAGAGGCATGAAGGCACGGTGGCGTCAAATGTTTCAATTAACTATTTTTAACTAGAATTATAAATCATAACAAATCTCTCATGACTCTAAAACAGCTGGTAACTGGTTATTTTCCCCTTACTTTTTAGTTCTCTTTACCACAAACAAGCGTCTTGTTTTCTTCTAAGGCAGTATATGGGTGATGCGGCTTGCATTTTACATTGCTTTTTCTTCCATTTATATCTAATAATTTTTTGCTTAACTTTATATCTGATGTTCTCAAGGCTCTTTTAAGGCTAGTCAAGACTTCCATCGTCCTATATGCGTCTAATTAGTAGCTAATCGACTTTTCAATATGGTACATGTGTTCCAATATATAGCATTTTCATCAGTGCAGGTTTTCAAATCCTATGGTTGGACATTTCCAATCATCATCCTTTCTTGGTTGGTGGCTACTGGCCCAAAAGCTTTCCTCATGGCATTGGCACTCCCCCTTGGTCAGTCAGCACTTGCACTGGCATTTGAGAAATTGTGGGGAAGGGACAAAAGCAAACCAAAACGCAAGTCCCGGATGAGGAGGAAGCCAACCGCCAGGACTGTAAGGGGCACCAAAGTACAGGAAGAACCAGAGCCAGAGGAAACCCAGAGAAGAAGAAAGGGAAAGACAAGCTACCAATCATGGGTGGATAATGGTTCGGTTGGTAAGGATGAGCAGAGTGCACCTAGTTTTGGTGGATGGGATGATTTGGATAGAACTGGCCCGACAACGAGGTCATCTCGAGGGGGAAACGGATCTGAAAGGTTGACTGAGGAGAAGGGCAAGTTGAGCAGGGCAGTGAGGAAAAGTGACAGGCCTCTGCTAGTGAGATTGCTGATTGCTCTTTTTCCTTTTCTGGGCTCATGGACTAAAATGCTGTAGTAGTCACCCCTCACCATCATCTGTGTGGGCGTGAAATTATTTTAATTGGATCTTGCTTGGATGAAGAGAATTCAAGTAACTATTTTCCACTTTAATACGTGTCAAGTTCTGGTTGAATCAGATAACTATACTATATTTTCATTCTTGAAGTGTCATAATTTTTAGCAGAAGGTTCCTCTGTTGAGTGAGTACATGGGGAAACCAGACACATTTTGTCGAGGTATAAATTCTTGATGATAATAACACTATAACAGGTCAAATTTCTATCTGCTTGACAACTCCATTGAGGAGTTGGGCTTTTATGCTGTTTTTGTCATCCTACCACCAATAGATAGGTAAACAATGTTCAATGCTTCTCTGCTCTCTGCACATTTGTTAAGTCCCCCACGTGGGACTTGATGCCCCGGCTAGCAAAGCAGCCGGAAGAGATTCATGTTTTGTTTTATATATGAACACACCTTTTTAAGCTTATCCTCAAACAAAAAAAAAACGACGTTCAATACTGAGAGTAGAAGTTTAACAGTGTTTGATTCAATGGATCTTTTTACCCCTCCATTTTGTTTAACCATAACCAAGCAAGTTGCCTCTTTTTTTCCAATTTAATAAGGGAAGGAAATCCTTCCAACCAAACTTACTTTAAATCTACTGGTTCTGTTTGGTACGAAACATTAAAAATAAGAGATAAAAATTAGGATTATAATTGAAAAAAAAATCATTAAAAAAGTCTCAAATATAAGTAATTATTTGTTATATAAGATTAGACAAACCCATAATAATATGATTGGAAAATATCACTTCTCTCCATAATATTCCTTAATTCCACATATATAGATTTGTCTAATCCTATTTAATAAATAATATCTCATACTAAATACTATTTTCTTAATCTCAATCATAATCTCTGTCACTTATTTTTAATACTTCGTACCGTAGTTCACTGGGTGGATGTGAAATAACAAGACGTTAAAATCATCTGAATAAAGAATTTAGTCTTGGATAAAAGCCTAGACCCGAAAAAAAGAAAAAAGGGTGTCGGATAAAAGCCAACGGAGCTTACTAATGTGATAGTGATAAAGGGAATGTCGCGAAGCTTATTTTTTTTCACCAGGTTTGTGAACCAATTCGTCGGCTCCTTCGAGGAATTCAGAGAGGCAAAGCGTCGATTTGGCTAAATTAGTAGGAATGATATAATGTCAGTTTGTTGAATTGATTAACGGATTAGACGTCGTTGAAGATTCAAAAGCGATCGATCGATCGATCAAATGAAACAGTTGCGAAGACGGTTTGCTCTTCATGCACTCATGAATGAACACCTCCGAAGTCCAAAGAATGCCTAAATCATCAAAGCTAAGTAATTATTAATTCTCTGAAGAAAGAAGAATTATTTCGTTATCTTTGCGAAGCTCCGATAAGCAATCCCAGTTTCTCACATTTAATTTCGTATTTAATTTTCAATTCCTACTTGTGAAAGGCATTGACTAATGCCTAACCAATTCAGTCTGACCGTCCAGTCAAAGAACGCATCGAGTTTGATTCCCTCGAGCTTTAATTGTCGCGATTAGAATTGATGCGCTTTCATCATCGTCACCATAATTTCTAATATATTTACTGGAAAGTTTCACTCAAAGGAAAAATCAATGATTTAGAATTATGTTTCGAAAGATATTCGCATAACATGGCTTCTGTTTAATGTGACATTTTGACGTTTCAGATCATGGAAATGTTTAGGCTTTGCACCAAACTCAAGCAAAGGAAAAATCAATAATAAAGGAATCAGCGACACTCACAAGTGTTTCTTCAATTGGAGACATGTGATCATCAATAGCCAGCAAAACTCATTACTTGTCAAAAGAATTGCCCTCTTTCTCAGAAATGTTGGTATGAAAAAAGCCAGTCGTCATCTTGCAAATAGCTGGACTCTATTGACATGACAAGAAGAAGTGGGATCCTGGAGGCAGCTGCAAAAGCTATCCTCATCCTTAGGAAAGGATGCTGGTAAAGGGTGGTCAGGTATGACACCGACCTATACACAAGTCCAAGAGGTTAAGTGAGAGGAAGAAGTTCAGAAGGGAGATATGGCGATTGAAGAGTCAGCGAAGTTCAGACCTTGTCGATATCAGTGTGATCAGGTGTCTCATAACGAGCAACAGTAACAACCAATCCGGAACCATCAGAGAGCTCGAACACTGACTGAATCTTCCTGCAGATAAGATGAGCACTTCATGCGAGTGAAAGGGAAATTTTAGTTCGGTTTGTTTAATATAAACGCGAACAAAGTTAACTACCCTTTTCCAAATGTGGGTTCTCCAAATAGGATGGCCCGTTTATTATCTTTCAATGCACCAGCTAATATTTCACTTGCACTAGCTGTTCCCTTATTCACCTGAGATTGGCTCAAGAAAATAACGGAGAAGTTAAATAACATATAATACTTGTATCAAATATTATCCTCAAATGGACTAGTGTGCAAAACCGAGTAGAAATTGGAAGTCTGATTATAATGCAAGTAGATGGCCCAGACAACCCTCACACCACGTCCCCTTTCTTCGTGATACAAAAGGGCACAAGGACTTGGGCACAGAGAGAAAGAGAGGGACGATATAGAACAGAACTGATTAATCCATGTGCATTGCGGTATCAGGACCCGTGATACTTTAGTTTAGGGGGGTACTCGAGCTAAGGCTATTGGATTTCATTTCAATATCAAAGCAAAAAAGAAAACATCAATCAAAAGAAACACACAAGCAATTTACAGATGAAAAAAATTACCCTGGTCATCTCCACCAAACCCTATGAGGGTTTACTTTCTCTCTTCCACTCCTGAAACCCACAAGTTCTTTCACATATCTATCATGCCCCATAGCCTATCTAACCTATACGACTATTTACAACTCAAATTTTTACGCAACAACAGCTTGCCCATCAACAAAACCCAAATAGAAAACTGCAATACCTAATGAAATTAGAATTGAGCTAAACTCCAACGGTAGATGAAAACAGTGCAACTAGGGAAAAGAAAAGATATACCAATACAGCTAGAGGTTCTGACGTTGCTATTGCATTGCTTCCATCTGTATCGAGTATATCTCGAACACCACGACTGTCGCAAATATATACAATCACACCTTTGTCCAACCTGATTGGAAATATCTCTTAGAATTCAAGATGACATTAACATAATATTCTCTTCATAAAGAACCCCATTAGGTTCTCAAATATTGAAAGAATCTGACATCCAAGATCAGCATTAATATGGTTACAGGACAGTTATTATCCTTCATAGAACTCGTTCCACAACTTCTTAAAAGCGGCATTGCTCGAGTGGATTGTAAGTAGATACAAGAACATGTAAAAGTTTGTAATAATCATTTTAGTACAAGCATCTGCTATTCCTGGGTGTTGGGTGCCTATTTAATTTAAGGTAAGCAACAGAAATGTGATTGTCGTATAGGTATTGCTTGGAGATGCAGGGAATTTCCAGAAAAACAAGCCTGAAAATAGAACACCCTTTATTATTATCACAAAACAGTCTTTCGATTATTTCCATTTATAGAAACATGAAGTACATGCTTCAATATGTTTTTAACCCATTTTTTCATTTTCTTTTTTGATATTTAAAAAAATTCTATTGCACAATCTAAAGTGCAACCCATGATCTTTCACCTGTACCCTTTCTATTCAAAAAATAAAGAAAGAAATGGCGGCAAAAGATAAGAACACTGGGGTGCTGCCCTTACCACATGCACAGGAAATAATTGTGTTGTGCAATATAAGATGCCAGTTTGCCACTGGTTGATAAGCATATCTTACCAAATTTTGGCAATCTCGATTCCTTCTGGGAAGAGACCACCGCTGCAACAAATATATGCTTCAGAAAGACAGCCTGCCAGTAGGCAAAAGCATATAGGAGAAAATGCTAAATCACCTATTATCTCTAAGGTCCAAAACAAACGCATTAACATTATCACTCCGCAATGTATTGATTGCTTCCTTGACGGCATCTGCAAGAGAGAGAGATTTAAATTACAAAAACAAGAATGCAGTAGCTAGAAAAACTTAATACTTTCAACTACCTACATCACATTTCATGTAATATATATACATACACATTTCTTCATTCTTCACATCGTAACCCAAAAAAAATTCAAATGTCCCTTAATCACATATGGAAGAACTGGAGATCCAATTCAGTTTTGATGCATTATATCTTTATAATGTAAGTGCTTGATGGGCGATTTACTCATTTTTTGTGATGTCAGCACAAACCAACAAAACAGAAAGTGGCAGAAAATTTACTACTTACTGGATGCCTTTTGGTTGAAAGCTGTTAGTTTGATATAACCAATCAACGGGGAATCATTTCCTGAAGCAGGCAGCTTGCATAATCTTGACTTCACTGGATTCAGTAAAACTTTCTCTCGCCTGGAAGGTAGAAAATCATACTTAAGAGATTTCTAAAAGAGAAGGATAAAGATAACAAGCCAAAAATCTAATGATGATGACAAAGACCATTGCGACAAAATAATTTAAGTGGGAAACATACCACACTTACGATTAGTAGGTTAGCTGAACCTAGTGATGCATTATAATACTAAGTTTTTTCAATTATCCTCATTAAAAAAAAAAAAAAGAAAGTATCCCTGAACCTTAAGCATATATCCAATTTGCAAGAAAACAGAAGTATAATTCACCAAATTAAAAAGACAAGTAAATAAAAGTTACTTACATCAATGATAGGTGTTTTACTTCCTGACCACTCCGAAGGGTCAAGGCTACAGAGCTTCCTTCAGGTCCCCTGTAATTTCCTTTAGTAGGTCAGGCAACACAAGATCATAGTCAAGGCAAATATTGATCTTGTCAAGAAGATCTGTGCTTTAAAATGTATGTTCACCTGCGTAATGATGTCGTGTTCAAAACTATGAAGGGCCAGAATTTTAGAAATTTCTTGGAAATTAAATTATAGTGAAACAACCAGATAGTATTCTCTAGATAACTGCTGATGCATAAGTTTACACTTCAAGCTAGACCCAACAATCCGCAATCATACTGAAGTACCAAAGGCAACAGATTCCATTTATGATTAGCTCATACAGCATTAACGAGATAAAGGTATGGCAAAAATCTTCCCCGTCTGTCTCAAGAAATGCTTCTGACAAAGCTAACTTTCATCAGTTTTACATTAGCAAAGTCAATCAGAAATCGAATCAGTATTTTTTAAATATATCTTTGGGCTATTAAACCTCATCAATGCTTGTACCAACATAGTATGGTGCTCCTCACTTGCTGGAGGACATTTAAGATGTAAAGTAAATCATATTCACAGATCTTTTCCACCAGATTAGCATTTTTTTCTTTCGTTGCTTTTGGATTCTCCATGTTCCTGGATGAGGATAGTGATTTAATAGTAAAAATTGCATATAGGAGAGGAAACCTACTGTAGTCGTTCTGCTGCGTCATATAACCCCATGCTTTCTGTACTCGTATCATCAATTGCTAGAATAACATCTCCTGACAAAACACCAGCTCTATATGCAGGACCCCCTGGAGAAGCTGAAATGACGACGAGTCCAGGAGGTGGCCCATCACCTTTTGTAGGGTAGCCTATAGACAGCCCCACACCTGTAAGAGATCCTTGAGTTCCAGACTGCCTTCAACAAAACATTATTTTTTGAGATTAATATATAGTGATGTATGTATTCAGCCTGATTAAGCAATGGTAATATCCGCATCTACAGTTAGGACCGTATGCTAGATAAATAAAAGGAAAAGTCAATTTAAGAAGCATCCCCATACCCGCAAACTTTTGAATTTGTCAGGCTCCAGAAACCTAGTGAAAGGATCATCTAGTGTGGCAAGCATCTTCTTTATTGCCGTATCTGAGTAAAAATACACCATTAGAAGTGTAGAAGATAAATTCATGTGATGATCGACTCATCTTCAGGTATCTCAAAATCAACTATATAATTATCATCAAACAATTTGCATAATGTGGCTATCACCAATGAAACGGTCAGAAGAAGGAAAATAAGATAGGAGTACTGCCAATAATTGCTTGATCAGTCTAGACAAAATAACATGATGAATGGGGGCCATGTCCTCCAACAGTCGCATTACATTAGCCAATATCTAATTCAGTTTGAAATTACATGCATAAAATTATAAACGTAAGCTTCTTTGTGCTGATTGGAAACTTCAGTCCTTTGGGTTTATCCTCTCAAATTTCTAGACAATCATGGCATAGAGTATACATAATTCTTTCCTAACCATCTGTTATATACCAGAATAATAAAAGGACCGACAACATGCTTTAATGAAAGAGGATCCACTCATATTCCCAATTTAGGATGTGAACAAGATTCTGATAAACACAATGCTAAGTAAACCTGACAAATTCAAAGCATCGATGAGAGGCTTAAACAGACTCAGGTTCGCGACAAAATCAAATCCTTAAGTTTTTCTAACATTCAAGCATCAGTATTTGACAAAACACTACTTTTCACTAATTCCTCCCTTGAGTTTCTTTATCTCTTCTAATTACTCCTATCAAGTAACACGTGTGTAGGGTTAGCCATAGCCACCGACATCACATCTTCATAACAAATGGTTGTGGAGCAAGTGAAGATCAAATAATTAACTTCACGCAGTAGGTGCATTGCCGTAGTGGCAAGGCAGTCCCCTTGCATAAGGGAGGTGGAGGGTTCTATCCCCCAAAAAGGGCCAGTTTGGCCTTCTTTTCAACTTAAAAAAAAAAAATAATTAACTTCAAAAAATAGAATCCATACATGTCTCTTCCCGAGTGTTCATGGGTTCAGTGCGCAGTGCATTTTCTCTGTACCTAAACCAATTTTGTCCATTAAAGCTTTTGTCAATATAAGCTCGGTCAATTGTTCTCCACGCTTCCAAAAAGAGGAGATTCTCTTCAGTTAAGGCCCCTTGAGAAGAAATGACACCAGGAAAAAAAATGAAGCATCATTGAGATGTCACATATGACAAAAGTTAAAATATAAATATAAAAAGTCCAAGACAACTTGTAATGCTGCTCTCCATTGAAGGTCCAGTACAGGGACAAATCATACTCACCGGATGAATTGCTGAAGGCAAGAGAAACCGACATGACCAACATTACTCCGACAGCCAACCGCACAAAAACAAGTGAGGCTTGCTGTCCGAAGTCCACTGAATAATGCGTCATTCTTTTAAGACTGGAATTTTTCCTCCATTTAGGAAACCAGCCAGAAGTTATAGGAAACAAACAACACTGAGCAGAACAACTTTTGCTGAAGCGGGGTAGCAACCGAAGTGAAACTTCAGTTTTAGAGCCATTATTTCTGAAGATTGGATTTCTTTTGCCACTATACGTTAAGGAAAATGGGGTTGGCATCACCCCAACAAATAAAGGTTCGCCCTTTGACACCTGCAAAGAGTCGAATTGACCAGGGAAAAAAACTTAGTCAGGTGTTCATAACTTCATTTGTGTTCTTCATTGACCTATTACAGATTTTGCCCCGCACCGCACATATGCAAAAGGATAACATTCAATCATCGATTTTGCCTTTTTTTCGTCATGCTTTCTCCAAAACCAAACAGAAAGAAGGGACGAAGTATGGAATTGGAGAAAGTGGACCAATGTGTAAAGAATAAAAAAGGGATGTAAACGAAAACAGGAGCTTTAGGAGAAAAGACAGAGAACCTGAGGTATGGAGAAGTTTGGGGCCATGGAAGCATTGATGGAGATGCCAACGACCTCCATGGAAAAAGGGAAAGCCCGATGCTCTTCAGTTTTGGTTTCTCCTTACACGACTATACCTTATCGTTGCGCTTTCTTTGGAAGCGTTGCACTAATCGTACGTGTCTAATCCTTGCTTGTGGTTGGGTCTTGACGGGAGCTTGAAGAAGAAAAACAAGATACTCCCGCCGTCCTTAAAAGTAATATATTTAACTAATTTAATTAGATTAAAAAAGTTAAGTAAGTTAGTTAATTATAAGAAATGTGACACATTTTTCTTAAAATACCATAATTATCTTTTTTAATACTACGTTTTTCTCTTCTACTTGATTATAGTTGAAAGAGTATCTATAAGAGTAATTTAAAAAAAATTGATAAATATAACAAATGGATCTTATATTTAGAATAAAACCAACTCAAAAATTGGGTCATATATTAAGAAATGAAGGAGTAATAAATACCCCTCTATTTAAAAAAAATAAAGACAGGCTTTTTCAACTGTTTACCGTATTTATAAAAGAGGAAGTAGTTTTTTAACCCTCTGACCTTTTTTAATAACACATGGTTTAGAATTTTATGATATTTTAAAAAATAATCATACTTAATGAGTTTTCCACATCTTTTAATGGAAAATCTCTTCAAAGATAGTTCTAGGGAAAATTCCAGAAAAGGTCCTCAAATATATGAAATCCCAGATTGGGTCCTGGAATTTCTAAAATGACAGAAAGGGTCAGTGACCCAATCTGTCATTTGTGAAATTAAGACCAATTGATAATTTTACCCCTGACTAAGTGAGTAGTTATTCTTTACACAAATCTAGGTAACGCTTACACTGTTCTAGTGATTACAAGATTAGTTGTAGTTAATAATTACAAGATTAGTTATAGTTAATAATAAGGTGCCTGATTATGAAAAAGTGAGTAGTTATTCTTTACACGAATCTAGGTAATACTTACATTGTTCTAGTGATTACAAAATTAGTTGTAGTTAATAACAAGACACCTGAATATGAAAAATCGAGTAGTTATTCGCTACATGAATCTAGGTAATACTTAAACCCTTATAGTGATTCCTTAAATCATTGTAGTGAATGAATACAAATGAGGGCAAAATTGTCAATTCCTCTTGATTTGCCAAATGACAGATTGGGTCACTGACCCTTTCTGTCATTTTAGAAATTCCAGGACCCACCCCTCATCCGTGGGTTCAGCTGGCGAAGGGGTAGGACTCTCTCACCAAAGGGAGGGGGTTCGATCCTGGGGAATGCCACTTTGTTGTGGCTCCAGTCGCGGCGCTGGGGGAGGCATCTCCACAAGCGTAGTGAAGCTGGGTGATTCCTACCTTTGGGCCAGAAAAAAAGGGCTTGCTTGTCATGCTCCCGTGCCCATAGGGACAGGCCCCAGTGGATCAAGCGTTAGGAGCCCTGCCCTTGGATCGTGGGTGAGCCCGACCCCTTTCCTAAAATTTTGTTATAAAAAAAAAAAAAGAAATTCCAGGACCCAATCTGAAATTTCATATATTCGAGGGACTTTTTCTGGAATTTTCCCATAGTTCTATTTGATTAGAGACGACTTTGAAAAGAAAACAAAATTGAGACAAAGACCAGTTTATCCGTCTGTGCCTTTTTGACGGTTTTTTACAATATTTAAAAATGGATTGACTTGTTTTTATATATTATAAAGAATATAATTTTTTTATAAATTCGTCACTATATGTATATTAATATATTGATATGTGTTTATAACGATAATTATGAGTTTTTTTTTAAGTTTTTCTCATATTATTATATTTGGAAGAAAAACAAATAATAATTAGATTTTTAATCCTCTGGCAGAAAAGGGGGGAAATAGATTTTTAATAGTGCTATGTTTTTTGGTACCTTTTGGAAATATTATGGATACCAAATTTGGTCTGAATCCAACCAAAAATTAGCCAGCTATATATGTCCCATTGCAGTGCCAATTATTCCTCTTATCCTATTTATAAGGTTGAGATAGAAAGTTTTTTTTAGTCCTATTTCCTATTTATAAGGTTGAGATAGAAAGTTTTTTTAAATTCTATTTATAAGTCACTTCATTAAATTTTCGTTGGCAATATACTATTTTGTCCTTAATTTATTATGATGTGGGTAGTTATCTTTTTTAAAAAGTATATATATTAAATATAGGTAAAGTTAAAAAATTGTTATATTTTAATAGAGAGTTAATATACTTTAAGGTTTTTTTTTTGTCTGTGTAAAATATGTTTGAAGTATTTTATAAATAAAATCAAATGAATATTTTGTACTGTGGCCTAATCATGAGAAAATCAAACAATCAAGTACTTATTTTGAATTCCACGTGCTTGACCAAACTATCTAAAAAAAACTTTTTAGCGGTAGTCAAAAACTTTTTTTTTTTCACCAGAGTAGTAAAATATTTTTTTTTCGGTAAATAAAGCACTAGACAAACAAACTACAAATTACCCTGGGGCAACAACAGATGCCCAATGAAATCTGGCGGTGACACTAAAACCGTTAACCCACTCCCCCTCTGCAGTGCCTCCTTTGCCAACGTATCTGCGACAACATTTACGTCTCTACTACACCAGTCCACTTGCATGTCCCAATCCTTATGCAACCAGTCACTCACTTGTAGGAGGAGATTGCCCTCTGGGTGGTCCTCTTCCCATCCTTAATTAATTAGCTGTACTAATTCCCAACAATCGGTTTCGACGATCACCTTCCTCCAATGCGACTCCCACGCCCTTTTAAGACTCCATAGTACTGCCCAAATCTCTGCATGGAGGCTACTTCCCCTTCCTATATTAAACATAAAGCCATCTTGAAACCTGCCACTGTGGTCCCTTGCTATACCCCCACATCCAGCTAGAGCACCGTTTTGAACACAAGCACCATCGGCATTGTATTTAATCCATCCCATATAAGGTGGACGCCACAAAGCTTTGTGCTCCTCGCCAATATGTAACCTACACAACTGGTCCTTAGACCATCGTGTGAGAGCTCGAGATTGACTGACTACTTGGCAAGCACCCACTGCCCGGCCTTGAAAAACACCAGCATTTCTGTTCAACCATAGTTGTCTGCTAATGATTGCAAACCAGACCCGCCATTCGACATCTGCAACCACAAACCTTTGGGTAACGTTCCAATCAATCCAGGCCTGCAGTGTTGACAAGCTAAAGAACTTGTTTCCAAGGTGCACCAGTAATACTAGTGCCCAGCACTCTTTAGCGACACAGCAGTCCCGTAAAACGTGGAGGGCCTCCTCCTCCCTACCGATGCACAAATAACACTCCCCACTAGAGCTGAGGCCTCTAGCATATCTCAAGCTATTCGTAAGTAATCTCCCCTTACGGCATACCCAGAGGAAGATTCTACAACGTTGTGGTGCGTGAATTTTCCAAATCCACCTCCACGCTCCATTACTGGTTGAGCCACTGTTATTGCACGACACTTGGTATGCCGACTTGACCGAGAACTTACCATCAGAAGTATGTCTCCAAATGGGACAGTCTTCTTCACTCCCCGGGACTGATGGGTACGCTCGGGCTATACTAGAGCTCACTGACGACGGCAGCAGATGTAGAAACTTGTTCCAATCCCAACTGCCTGACACGGTTAGAAAATCTGACACCTTTTGACTACGCGCTGACTCCTCCACGTTCATGGTGGCGTAGTTGATGAGCTTATCATGATGCGGGAGCCACCAGTCCTCCCAGAACCGAATGCGAGTCCCCCTTCCAAGCTTCCACCCAATACCCTCCTTTGTCACATCCCATACCTTCCTTATGCCCTTCCATGCCTCAGAACCGCATTTGGTTGCTGCAAGTCCTGGGATAATATCGGCACCGCATTTGTACTTCTCCCTCATAATTTGTACCCACAGCGCATCGCGTCTTTTGATCAAGCCCCAACCAAGTTTCATCATGAAGGCCGAGTTTAGTGTGCGGGCTTTTCGAAGACCAAGGCCCCCTATTTCTTTTCTACTACACACGTCATCCCATGCCACCAGGTGAGGACGCCTTTCCGATGTCGTGCTGCCCCATAAGAAATCGCGGCACTTTCTGTCCACTGTGTCGCATACGTTGACAGGTAAGCTAGTGGATTGCATAGTATAAGTCGGGATCACTGAAGCCACAGAGGAAACAAGTGTATGCCGTGCCGCCATTGACAAGGATCGAGCTTTCCATGAAGCAAGGCGACTTTCCATTTTAGTCACGACCGGATGGAAAGTATGTCTTGAAACTCTCTTATGATGAACTGAGACCCCTAGATATTTGCCTAGATCCGCTGTAGCAGTGAAGCCAAGAAACTCACTTATTTCCCTACTCCTGTTATGGTTGACATTGTTCGAGAAGAAAACCCGTGACTTAGATTCATTTACTTTTTGGCCCGACGCCATACAAAAATCATCTAAGCAAGCTTTAACAATGCCCGCTTGTTCCAGATTTGCTTCAGCGAAAAGAATCAAATCATCAGCGAAAAACAAATGCGAGATAGGTGTGCCATTCTTTTTAAGCCTGAATGGCTTCCAGTTGTCTTGTTGCACCTCATTTTGGATGAGATGAGCCAACTTTTCCATGACCAACACAAACAGATATGGCGAGAGGGGGTCTCCCTGACGAAGCCCGCGAGTAGGGGAGAACTCCGGACCCTTAGACCCATTCCACTGAACTTGCATCTTGGCCGTTGTAAGGCCAGCCTGAATAACGTTAACGAAGCTCGCTGGTGCCCCAAACTCCCTTAGACATCTAATCACAAAATTCCAATGAACTCGATCATAGGCTTTCTCCAAGTTGATTTTCAAGGCCATAAAACCTGTCTTCCTCTTCATTCTGGACATGGAGTGAATAATTTCCTGCACGAGAATAATATTATCAGTTATTTGTCGACCTGGAACAAAGCTACACTGATTCGGGGCCACTAGAAGGGGCATGATAGTCTTCAGTTTATTTGCTAAGACTTTAGTAATTGTTTTGTAAACCACATTGCACAGGCTGATCGGTCTTAGATCCCTGAAAGTATGTGGTGTCTCTACTTTTGGAATTAAGACAATATTGGTTCCATTCAATCCTTTAATCTCCGACGAGGTGTTGAAAACTTGGCGGGCCAGTTTTGTCACCAACTCTCCAACTGTCCACCATTGACTTTTCGCACTACGAGAAAAGGGGGAAAAAAGATTTAAGCTTGTGTTTCGCGGCATAAACAAAAAGTAAATACTAGTACTTTTCATCATTAATATAAAAACTAATTTATTAATTTATATATATTAAAAAATTATTTAAATTATTTATTTATAATAAATAAATATTAATTTTTTTAAAATACTTTAAAGTGTATTAATTAGAACTACTATTTGATGTAACATTTAAATGTGTAATTATTACAATAACTGTTTTGAAAAAATTGATAAATTTGAGGACAGGATGGATTAAGTTTTATATTTATGACAAAAAAAAATATCAAACAAGCTCTTATAGTAAGAACAAAAATAGTACTACCTCCAATCCTTAATATGTGAATTTGTTTGACTTTTATTTTAGTTATAAATATAACACCTCAATCTATTTTGTCCTCTATATTTATCCATTTTTTCTTAAAGTAGCCTTTGTAATAATGGTAGGATATTTTAGGAAAAACAACACATACTTATTACAACTAACTAACTTAACTAATTTTCTTAATCTATTCAAATTAATCATCTATCTTTTATATTAACGACCGAAAGTAGATTTATTGGTACAAAAAGTCTGCTATCATTCATTAAATTAAGCCACTAACACTAATTACTCATTCTTAACATAAAAGTTAAATAACTAATTTATAAAAATAAAAAAATTTTAAATTACTATTTTTTAAAATAAAAAAATGTGAATGATTATTAGTCATTTACACATTTCTTGATGGAAATCTTGTTAAAGCGCGTGAATGAATAGTTCAGAAAAAAATTATAATATATATATATATATATATATATATAAAATAGATTAAGATCGAAGAACGACTTCAATCCCCTCACTAACTGAGATAGGGGGGCTATTACCAAAATAAAATGAACGCTTGCAACGGTTAGCTGAACTCACGCACTGGGGAGTTTTTCTGCTGAGATTATATAAGTACCAGTTATATTAGCACTATTTTGATTCTAAATATGAAATTTATTTTATAATGTAATTTATATTATAAAATAGGTTTTATATTTAAAACCGAATATAAATGACAACTATGATGAGTTGGTCGAAGAATTTATTTTGCCAATATTTTTTTTCTTTTAATTAACAATAACAATTTAGTCTCATTCCTCCACAGCAAAACAGCCCAGAATACGCGGCTAATCTCTTGCTCCATCCTCAGACATTACAGTAGCTCACAAGATTCATCAGAAACATCTCAACTCAAGAAATAGAAAATTTTGGCCAAAAAAAAAAGAAATAGAAATTGAAAATGGTGAGAGAATCGGTCAATATATATCTCATAACGAACAAATTAAATTTTCTTCCATCTCTTGGTCGCTACCCTCTTCCCTCTTCAATCCGTCGCCATTGTCTTCAGTTTACTCCATGAATATCTTTTCCGGCAGGTCTCCTTGAAATAGAGGGTTGACAAATCACAGAGTTCCACCTTTGCAGCAGCAGACATGGAAGAATACAATAATAGGCTTATCTTTTGAAGATAGAAGCCCTGAAGAACATGTGGTGGAGGCCATTCCCTGCCTTCAACAAGCCAGTCAATGTCATTAGCATTTGGCGTCTTCATCCAAAAGTCATGGCCATTGTTTGGCCCACAGATTTGAAAAAGAGACAAATCACTGCATTTACCCGGAGATCCTCTTCTTTTTCCGCTCTTCCTAAAATGTTGGGTTGTCGCCATTATGACCTCCTCGCCTCTTTTGCCCGCTATATAGTACAAAATCTCATCTTTCCTGAAACCAGTTTCACTGCTCATTCTTTAGATGAGCACTGTAAACTCATCGGATCTGAATCGTCCATATCTCATTTGAATGGTTCAGATTTGATTTCTTTTTTATTTTTATTTATTTAAAATAATTATTTTAATATGTATAGGATCTAAAATGGTGATGATCTCTTAACTATTATTCTTTCAAAAAATAATTTTCTCTATTTAAAAATAGTTAATTAAAGATTTTAAATCTGAACCGTTCAAATCAGATATAGACAGTTCAGATCTGATGAACTTATGATGCTCATCAAAGTGATGAGCACCGAAATTGGTTCCATCTTTTGTATACTCGAAGCTTTGATGCTCAAAAAATAGCCTCACTGTTTCATTAATTGTTGCTGCTGTTACTTTGTCAGTAACTACTATATATATTTTCATAACTTACACATTCATTATACTATAGAGAGTTGAAAGTTATAACCTTTATGACGTTTGCTGAGAAAGTCTGATAAAATACTTGGGGTAAATCTAGTGCCCGTGTATGCTTCGAGTTTCAAACTACTAGTACACCAAACAAAGGCTTCAGAGAAGTAAACCTTAATTGTCATCATCACGCATATAAATACATACAGATCAATAACAAGTGCGGAGTAATTCCTGCGATCCTGTTTCACATATTACTTTGCATTTATCATCAAAGGGACAAAAGCACACCATGCCCCACATATATTATACAAACATAAACTAACACAGTCACATTAACATCTTGAAATGATAATTGCAGAATCTACTGTGTGGTTTGAACGCGCGTGTTTGCCATTCTTTCCATCTCCAACTGTTTCCCATTCCTTGAGGATGAATCCTCGTATGCATACGCAAACCCACCGTGTCGTGTCAGATCCATACCTTCCAATTCATCTTCTTTGGAGATTCGCAATAGTTCGAGCTTGTGAAGAATCAGGAACAGAGGGCCCATGGTAACACTGACCCACCCAATAATCACCAGAATCTCCACTATATTTGCGGCCAATAGCTTCCCCCCACCACCCATGAACAACCCATATGGCCTATCCACAGGTCCTCCGTACACCTCGTTCACGTACTTCTTCTCTGCAAACAACGCCGTGAAGATCAGCCCCCATGCTCCGCACCCGCCGTGCAGCTGTGACGCCTCCAATGGGTCGTCAAACTTCATCTTCTCCGCAAGTTTGTTGCATGAAATCAGTACCACTGCCGCCACGAATCCGCAAATGATTGCCGCCCACGGCTCCACGACGGAGCATCCGGCGGTGATGGCGGCAAATCCGCCTAGAAGCCCGTTGCACACGTCCGTCACGTTCCAATGGCCCGAGTCAATCCTCTTCCCGAAGAGAGTCGTCAAAGCGGCAGTGCAGCCGGCTAGGGTGGTGGTCACGGCGGCTCTACCCACCGCGCTCCACTGCCCGTAGTAGTTTCCAGGCTCGTAATGATTCAAAATCTTCAAGAACGAACCTGGGTTAAAACCGTACCACCCGAACCAGAGCAAGAAAGTTCCGAGAACAACCAAGGTGGCACTGTGCCCGCGAAGCGAGACTGGTCGACCGGAATGGTCAAATCGACCTATCCTAGGCCCTTCTATGAGTGCGCCCCACAGACCAGCGACGCCGCCCACCATGTGTACCACACCCGACCCAGCGAAATCTATGGCACCGGATCCGAATAGAAGGTCTGAGTGACCAGTAGCGTTAGCCCAGCCGTCGCTGGACCAGACCCAATGAGACACAACAGGATAAACGAATCCGGTTAGGAAAGAGGAGTAGATTAGGTAAGCGACAAACTGAGTCCGCTCCGCGATGGAGCCGCTGGTTATGCCAGCGGCAGCGATGGCGAAGGCCCATTGGTAGAGGAAGTAGCTATAATCGAAGAGACTCGAAGGGAAATCCGTGAGACCGAAGGAGTGACGACCAATGAATACGTTGGACGGGGATCCAAAGGCGAAAGCGAAGCCAAAGAGATAGTAGAAGACACCGCCGGTGGCAGCATCGAGGACGTTGGTGAGCATGATGTTCATGGTGTTTTTGGCACGAACGGAGCCGGCACAGAGCATGGCAAAGCCGAGCTGCATAGCGAAGACAAGGTAAGCAGAGGAGAGAAGAAAGGTATTGTCGACGGCGAAAGCGGTGTCGTTGAACTTGTTGCAGATGAAGTCGGCGGTGGCTGTGGCGTTGGCGAAGTTGGTACCCAAGTGCTGGGCAAGTTCCACGGAGCAATTGGGCATGGCCATGGTTCAGCGAGAGAGAGCGAGTAGCAAGGGTGGTGATGAAGGAAAGGTGAACGCCTCTGCTGGTGGATAACGATTAACGAGGACTCTTCATTCCCGTTTGATTACGTACGAAGGCCCGCGGATGATGATGACATTATTCTAAGGGGTGTTTGGCTTTTTTTCAAACCATGGTTTGGAAAAAAATTTGCCAAACACCTCTTCTTTTTAGAAAACCGTGGTTCCCAACAAAACCATGGTTTTAATCTTCCAAACCTTGGTTTCGCTGAAGCAGCACGCGGGGAGCTTCTGAGGATTGAGGAGTAATAAATAATACTCCTCCGGTCCTTATTATAAGACCCAATTTGACTTTTTATTTGGTCCTAATTATAAGACCCAATCCATTTCTCTCTATATTTATGCATTTTTTTTCAAGATAATCCTTCTAATAATGATAGTTTTAGCCAATATACTTAATTAGCAAGGATATTTTAGGAATAACAACACTTATTTATTATAAATAACCAACTTAACTTACTTCCTTAATCTCTTCAAATAAGTCAATTGGGTCTTATAATTAGGACCGGAGGAGTACTATTTTTTTATCGAAGAGTGCCTTTCGCAGGGGCTGTGGTTGGCAGCCTAATAAATAATAATTATGTGCAAAAAATTATGAGATTTTATGTTTAAAATCTTTAATAAATAATAATATTTTTTATTGGCAAAACAAATTATTTTTCTAAAAACATATGTAATTATTTTATATATATACAGATTAATTATTTATTATTTATATTATTTATGTCTTATTTACTATGTTACCAAAATATATATTATTAACAAATTTATTATTTCAAATAAACATATATTATGAAATATATGTTATATGTAATTATCATTTAAATCTATGTCCTTTTTAGTAATTTTAACATATAAAAAAACACTTCTGACAACAACTATCCAAACACTCCCACTTTATCATAATCACTTTTTCAGAAAATCTATTCTTTCAAAATCTATTCTCTCCAAAATCTATTTTCCAGAAGCTATTTTTCAAACCATGGTTTGAGGTTATCCAAACACCCCCTAAATCGTTTATATTTATTACCGTAAGACGTGGTGTTCTCCATATTTTTTTTTTTTTTTATGAGGTGCCATTTTCCAGGAAAAATCCATCATCACACAAGCACAGATCAAATGATATCCTTTTATTTAATTCATTTTTTTATTTCAAGGGACATAAAATCTAAAATAAAACTAATTCCTATAATAATTATTTTTAAAAAAATAAATTTATTATTTGAAAATAATAGTAGGTTCTAAAATGTATAAATTAGTTAGATATTCAATTTAATCGTAAATATAAAACATCCTGATTCAATTTTTTATCCATATTTATTTATTTATTTATTTCTCAATTAAAGTGTTTTTATTCTACTCGATGTGATTAATAAAAGTATTTTACAAAAAATTCCTCTTGTCTTAAATATAAAATTACATTATAAAAAAATCTTAAATTTAGAATTAGAGGAGTAACACTAATTTATTATAAATAATTAATTTAAGTATTTTTTTTAATATTTATATCTGACTCTTAATACTCTTATAATAAAAATAGGTGGTGGTAACATATAAAGAAAATTAAATATGGGCCACTGACAGCTTAATTCCGTTATAGAAGTAACGACCAGCATTAAGGGAAGCGCCAAATTTGACAAGAAATAACTGTATTACACTTACAATTGGAGCAGGAGATTCTTTGAGTGAGTCCGGAAGGAACCACCTGGGAATCTATTTATCATTTTATTTCTGTGCCCACAAAGAAAAGCGCCAAAACACCGTACTCGCTCCTGCCCCCAGACCCAGTTACAACATCAGTTTCGTTCGGTTCGGAGTCCTCATTTCCCTCCTCACTGCGACGTGCGGTCGCAATATATAGCTCTTCTTCCCCCCTTCACGTCCATATCATGCCTTTGCTGCTATCCAGGGCCTTCTTATCCTTATTCGTACCGTCGAAGCCCTCATTTTCCATGGCTCTTTTCCCCTCCAATTGTAGCCCCAAAGCTCGCCTTAGAGGCGTCGTTTTTGACATGGACGGCACTCTCACCGTTCCCGCCATCGATTTTGCTGCCATGTACCGTGCTGTGCTCGGCGACGATGAGTACCGCAGGATTAAAAGCGAAAATCCATCTGGAATTGACATTTTGCACCTCATTGAAGACTGGAATCCCGAGAAGCAGCGTATTGCTTACGAGACCATCGCTGATTACGAGCGCCAGGGACTGGATCGCCTACAAATCATGCCTGGTTAGTGGTTCGCCCTTTCCTAATTGTTCATTCTCTTGTTTTGCAATTCTTTGAACCTGGCAAGCAGTTGAATTTTTCAGAACAATGTTGATGAAATTTGTTAGGATTTAGGAACGAAGTAGAATGTGCTTTCTTCTGGAATTTGGTGGCTCTCTGCTTGCTTCTACATTGTTTTTCTTCTTATAACTCGACTACACTAGACAATGTTCACGCTAGAAGTTTAGTGTGTACATAGGTCCATATTTTTTCCATGAATATTTAAATTTATGTTCACTTGCCTTTTAAAAAAAAATAAAATTATACTTCATGGTCTGGTCAAAATGAAGATGACTTTTAGTTTTTTGTTAATAGATTACAAATTAGTTGGTAGAGTTTGATTTTTCTGTTAAACTGTGGCGCAGGTGCGGCTGAACTTTGTGGTTTCCTTGATTCGAAGAAAATAAGGTCAAGTTAAGAAGATTACCGTTCACTTCTAATGTCTTAACGACCATCTGTAGTTCCTTTGTCTTTTATAGTCAATGCGATTTCGAGCTTTTAACAATAATTGGAATTTCTAATTTTCGATATCATATGCCTTTCTTGGGAAAATTACATCTGAAGTTCCTTATGGCTACCTTTCTTGGGAACAGGTTATTTTCTGTCTATATTAGGTTTCTTTTTTTTTTTTTTACCAGAAATATTACGTTCCTTTCCATCAGTCTTTCGTGTCTATATTACGTTCTCTGCTGTTTTGTTCATTCGCATGATTTTTGGAATATGATATGGAACGACTAATTGTTATATTTCTTAGTGAATGAGTAGCAGGTTATGTAAGGGATTGGCAAGTCAAAAAAGCTGAAAATGCATGCCATTTGCTTTAAAGCTATAGTGAAAGCTTCCATTCTTCCATATCTCGCATTACGTTTAATATGGAAATTTTAAGTTATTAGAGGGACAAAATGCTTTTCATGTTTACACTAGGAGGAACTTCTGCTATTAATAGGACGGTTCCACTTCCCTGGAGTGGATTATCAGGCCAGAAGGAACTATTTAGTTGAAAGTTTTATCACTACGACATGGTAGGAAAATATTTGGACTTAAACAGGGTTCTAATTTTCCAGTTCATTTCTTTTGAATCATATTTTCTCCTCAGCTTTATGAGGCCTTTCAATCAGTATACTACTTGGGGTGTCTTTGAATTTTAATTACTACTTTACCAAAACTATCAGAGCGTTAAAAGTTTCTATGCTAGCTAGGGACCGGGTCTGAACTTAATACTCTTTTGTCCTCTGATTAAACACCTAATGTGTATGCATTTCAAAGTGTGAAATAATTTATTTTTTTTAGAAAAATTATTTGTTATTGGGAGTAAAAGCATCTGATTGATCTTGGCCAACTTTCTCAAAATATTTTTAATCACAGCTTTGTCTTATTTCTTATGTTTGTATTGACGTGCTGGGAAAAGGGCTGGGGAGCAGTGGTCTTCTGTGCTCGGGGCTGTTCAATTCCAGTTAACTGACTATTTAGTTGTTGGGTGTACTAGCAGAAAGATAAACTGCTGCTGACTTGATGTATGTGTTCTGTAAGCTTTTTGGGTTTGGATTTGTAGCTACATTTTCTACTTCTGGTGAATCGAGACTGCATCAAATGCTCTTCTATGTGGATTTAAGTAACTTGCAAGCATTGCAAATCACCTAGTTGTGACTTCCATGGGGTTTGAGAGTTCATAGGCATAGACGATACATTAATTAATTTGTCACATGAGCATGTATGGTTTTATATATTTATTCTTAATCTATGTTCATAGGTTAAATGTTTCAATGCCATACGACAACAATATAGCAGGTTTATGGAAATTCTTGGTATATGTTATTTTGATTATACACCATGTTTGTGTTGGCCAAGGAAGAAAATGATTGCATTTCTTATTTCTTGTCATTAGAAAACTTTCATTGGAAAATTGACTTTTCTTGGGTCCAACGCAAGTGCTCCCCCCCCCCCCTTCCTTATAATGGTGTATGCTGACTGGTGTTGATCAGATTTGTATGAACTTGTTTTGGATAAACTGGTTGGTGTCAATAACGAGAGTTATGGCCTTGATAGTTTCAGTGACAATTTTTTTTCAAATTTATTCATGATAGATAACTTTGTCTGTCCATATGCAGGAGGGGATTGATCACACGCAATGTGAAGATGGCAGTTGATATATTTCAGAAAAGATTTGGGGTTAGTTTATATAAATGAAGTCGTATTCATATGCCATTTCTTTCTCCTTGGGAGCCCAGGCTATTGTACTTCTCATGCTGCAGATTGCATTTTCTCCGGCATTAAGCAGGGAATTTCGTCCTTATAAACCAGATCCAGCTCCGTTATTGCATATATGTTCAGGTTGGGGAGTTCAACCAAATGAAGTGATAATGGTAGGGGATAGTCTTAAAGACGATGTAAGTAGTTCTTTTCCCGATAACACAATGTCCTCGCCTTTGCTGTCTTTGTAACCAAGCAAAATAAATGCTTTTATTCTGACTACCATCTTGATGTTCATGTAGTTTCTCTTTTCACCTTCTATTAAAAACTAGACTCTTTAAATTTTCATACGTACAATAGAGGAAGGAAGAACAGTAGACATACTGTTCGAACCAAAATTCAGTGTGGAGGGAAAAAAAATTGAAGATTTTCATCTAACATAGGGTTCTTTTCCACAGGTTGCTTGTGGAAAGCGAGCAGGAGGTTTCACATGCTTGCTTGATCAGACTGGAAGGTACGATTCTCCTGTGTATGCCAATGTTGAATTCAAACCCGATTATAAAGTGACTTCCCTTGCTGAAATTCCCTCGGTTCTGGAAGCAAATTTTGAGCTGTCACCATGATGCCAGTTTGCCAAGTCCTGTTCACTAGAAAACATCAGAACTCGCGATTTTTTTCTTCTTTTGACTGGATCGCCCAAGCGATTTAGCTTGTGTTTAATGCAAAGCATCATGTCGAGGGTCTTTTTCTATGCCTCCACCTAAGTCATTAAAGAAACAAGAGACCTCTGAAATTTGAGACCACGGGATTCAATCATCCAACAGATCACAGTGTCAGAGATCGAATGGATCATACATTCTTGTGCCCCAAAGTCTCGTAGGCCATGAATACCACGAGAAATAGTTATAAGAAGTAGAATCTTCACTCGTCAGTAGGATGCAATTTCTCAGATTTTTTGGTTTCTTTTGGCGTTTGGTGGCTCTGGTTTTTATTGCACGCGTTTCTTCGATTCGTGGTTGCTGTTGTAGATGTAGATACCGATAAAGCCACACCTTGTGGCATTATTTATCACAAAGTAAACTCTATTTATGAACTGGGGTTCGGATTTTTCCCGCTACATTTCATTTCGTTCTCAGCTAAATGAACGTAAAGATAATGCTAATGGCCGCTTTGACCATGTGTATCTGGAGATATGAATTTGAATTGCAATTAGTTCGAGCAAGCTATTCACGGCTTGGAAACGCCATGAGATAAAATACTGGCATTGTGGCCACTCAAGTGCACTTTTACTGTGATTGATACTAACAAATTGATACCGGATGACATTGTGGTTTGACTATTGGAAGAATCTAAAGGGTAAAGAATGATAGATGGCATTCCAGCATCTCCAAATTTATTTACTTTCACTTGTTTTGCCTTTAGAACCTGTTTGCTAATTGGTTTGTTGTATAAGCTCTAACTGTATTAGCTAATATAATACAACCTAAGCGTGTTAGATGTTTGGTACCGCTAATATTCATGTATTTTATCAGTTTATTTATATTTCATGACTTTTTATCCATCTAGACACTGTATGATTTAAAAACCTAAAAGGGATGAAAATACAAAAAAAATTTGTTTTAAATATAAAACCTATTTTATAATGTAAATTACATTATAAAATAGATATTATATTTAATATATTTAAGACTAAAAGAGTACTTCATTTCATATTTCTCTCGAATCTGAGAACTCAAGTGTCTTCATTTTAAATGTAATTAAGCTTTAATTCTCCTCTCCTCCGAGTGATGAGCAAGTTCGAATCTTGAAATAGCTTGGGGAAACCAAAGGGATAATTTGCTGTAATGAACTACTGCACCCGAGGAGTGACGAGAATTGTTGCAACTCAAAAATAATTCCCCACAAATTGGGATTAGAACAGGCCTATTTCGGTTCCATTCCAATAAACAGTAATAGAATAGATTTTCTGCCCCGTGTTCCGTCCCGATATTGTCCCAATTTTGGTTGAGACAGAACCAAGACGTCTTGATTTTTTTTTTAATATTTTTTAATAAAATCCGATTATTCTTTCTAATTGTAGTTTTTTGGACTTAGACTTTGTAAACATCTTTTTGTTTTTTTATTTAATTTCTTTGGACACCCTTAAACAAAAGTTCAAAATATTACATATAATAATTATTAAAAATTCTAAACAAAAGCTTTTAACACAATAAAAACTTGTTAAAAATTATAATAATCAATAGTATCAAATTATCAACAAATATAAAAACTCTAAATAAATATATCCATAATTCTATACAATAATCTCAAATCTTAAAAAAATATAAATAAAATAATATTATATAAATAAAATAAAAAATGAAAAAAAATAGAAGGGACCGGGATGGGGTTGTCTCGTCCCGTGTCCTGTTCCATCCCGATCCCTTTTTTTGTCCCGTTCTGGTTTATCCTGTTTCAAAAAATTTTGAAAAGGACCCGTCCTGTCCCAATAAGACCAGGACCGGAACAAGCTAATCGGGACGGACTGGCTTTGAACACCTCTACCCACGTCAAAACAATTATCCAGCAACAGCAACCAAACTATTGCCATCTTTCTCATTTTCACTGAGCTACGCCTACGCGTCTTGATCTCCCTCACGCTGCATTTCTTGGCTTAACCTCTGTTTCTAACGATCCTAAATTCCAAGCAAGAACTTCTTCATCCTGCAGGTGGTATCTCTCATCTCTTGACTGGAGAATACGGATCCTGCATGTAATGCTACACTGACAGTGACAACCATCTGTATCAAGTAAAACAAGCAAATAAGGCGAATTAATTGAATAGTTAAGCACAAATGTACATCTGTTGCAAGTAAAATAATTGGCCCCATACATTATGCGCCTTTTGTTCTCTTCTTTACCAGTTGTGACCTGTTAAAATCCCCCGTGCCTCTAAGTGCCCAACAATTGAGTATTCACCAGCACGAAATCTTCAGATCCATCAACCGCCAGCTGCCAAGACAGCAAGGGACATCATAAAAAGTAAATAAACCCTTTGCTTGGTCAACGGAAGAGAGATACAAAAGGAAACCAAATCCAAGTAGCGAAAACACCAGATTGTGTTATTTGATTTCTTACATAGTATCTTATTCCGGAATTTTTGCATGCCAAAAAACCATGGGCTTACTAGAAAATAAACAGTAACGATCTCTAAAGCATATATATTTAAAAGGGCACACATCATGGACAAGGAAATGGCAACATAATAAAATTCGAAGTGGACAGGAGGTATCGGAAGTGCCAGGTCATTTAGATTGTCCATGGTTCACAGCTGATGACGAAAGCCACGTACATACACGTTTCAAGCAAGAATTTTGTGCGTGCGTGTTCATTTTATCGTGTTACGTTACAATAAAGAAATGGAAATAGATATGCTACAGCTAGAAAGGTCAAAAGCTAGAAATTATGCAAAGATCAGTGAAGTAAATATCGAGACAACTAAACAAAAAGATATTTGATGGTAACAACTCCAAAATTTACAATTATAATTTAGGCTAAGCAAGTTTGATGCATATCTCAGATTAAAGTCAAGAAGATAGAAGTAACAATCGACTGAAAGGACTTAACTGACAAGCTAATACAAGAAAATTTTAAAAGCTCCGCGTAAGGCACGAGTTGCCAGATAGACATAAAGGTATATAAGAGATTCCCAAGTTCACCAAGAAAAGACAATCATCGAATACCATAAGGTACAGTGTCCTTTCTCTTTCAAATTTCCCTGCAAAAATAAGAATGCATGCTACAGTAATAAAGATAAAACAAGCCAAAGATATCATCAAACCTGCAATCCAATAATCCTTTTAGAAGTGGAATGGGCTAATCAAGTTAAAACCCGCAAGGCAAAAACTGAGCTGTGGGTAATAATGCAAAAATACAGTCAAGAAGGGAATCACAACAGTACCTTGTGCATAGCAGCTTTAAACAACTCTGCATATTTCCATAGATATCAAATCATCTCCTATAGGGCTTAAAATGGTACTTTTGGAACTCCGAACCAAATGTTATTGATTCCTCATCAAGCTTCTTCTTCAATCTTCTCCAAGTTCTCAACATATCAGATTGTATTAAGCCTTTGTAAAGGGTCTCAAAAGTAACTTTCTGTGGAAGAAACCCATTCTCTATCATCTCAACAAAAAAACTGCAAGCCTGCCTCCAGTTTTGGTTCTTACACAGTCCATTTATTAGTAGTGTATAGGAATCTAAATCTGGTCCGACCCCAGTTTCTTTCATGTCATTCCATAGTTGTTTCACAGCCTCGATTTTATTTAGATTCAAAAACATAACAATCAATATGTTATATGTTTGCATGGTGGGCATGCAAAAACCATCTTCCTTCATTTTCTTGAACAGCTTCAAAGCACTATCTGCATCCTTTCTGCCCCTGTATTCCTTATAGAAGCAGTTATAGGTTGCAGCACATGGACTTATCCCATTCCTTACCATCTCATTGAGCAACTCCTCAGCATCTTCAAGCCAGCCACAGGAACAAAGACATTTAATAACAGAAGTATATGTCGCTACTGTTGGGCAGATTCCTTTCTCCTGCATCAATCTTAATTTATCTAGGGACAGCTGTGGTTTATGTGCCCGGCTATAGACATGGAGCACAATGGAGAAGCTAGTAACATCTGGCTCAATCCCTCTCTTGTGCATTTCATCAAACAAGTTATCAGCATTTCTTATTGTCCTTTCAAATCTTTCTTCCGGATGTAAACTTGCCCGCCTACAAATTCCATTCAGCAATACATTATACGTAACGACATTAGGCTCAAGTCCTTTCTCCACCATGTCCTTCAAGAACCCCTCCGCCATTTTAATTCGGCCTATTTTACACCAACCATATATCAAACCCGTGTACATTTTCGCATCAGGCGCAAACCTGTGCTTGTTTTTGTTAAAAACTTCAACGGCGACTTTCACATACCCGTACTTACAAAGGGTATCCAGCAAATAACAGAAAACCTCAGAACTCACCTTCTCCTCCACGAAATTATCGATGTCGTCGAATGCACGTATTGCTTGGCGAGTAAGCCCAGCAGAAATAAGCCTGCGAATCAATATCAAGAAGGTAGTAGAAGTGGGGTTGAGCTTTTTCTGGTCCATCTCGATGATGAGTTGCCAAACAACGTCGAATTGGCGAACTTTACCCAGGATGTCAATCATGAGGTTGTAGGAATCGGAGCTGAGAGGAGGATCGGGAAGAGATTTGGAATAATTGAAAAGGGCAAGTGCGATTTTTGAAGAGTGCCTGAGGCGGAGGAGGACGTCGTGTAGAAGTTGAGGGGTAAGGGTGATTCCATGGAGCTGCAGAGAGGACTCCATGGCGTGGAAGGGATTATGGTGCTGGAGGAGGATCCTGGACACCAGTTCGGAATCATTTGAAGAATGGAAGATTGGGGTTGCGCTGTTGTTATCGTCGTCGTCGTCTCGGTGTGGCTGTGAAGAAGAATACAAGCGGCAGGGCAGTGAAGCAATGGCGGGGAAGAGTCGAGCAGAGATGGTGGCGCTAATGCTCCGGGCTGGGACCTTGGGAAAAACCATGGTAAAATCTGAAGGGGCGTTGTTTCCTTCTGGACTCGGAAAATAACAGTGAGTACGAGTGCGGAAACTTGAAGCCGGTCCTAAACGACAGGTAAAGAACTTGCGTTTCTTCCCGGAGAATGCCGTTGCAACGAGAAAGAGAATACTACTAACATTTAACCTCAGCCTCGGCTAACTCTGAAATTTTTCCGGAAGCCTCTAGGACTAAAATAAAAAATATATATGGAGGTAAAAATGTTTTTGATGCTGATGTTCCTTTTGCAAATGTGACATGCTGGTATATAACTTATAATTAGGTGCTCCAATATGATATGATAAGATATGTTGATTTTGAGAAGTCAGTCTTTGGTTATCATAAGTTGTAGTTTTAAAATAAAATTTCAAGTTATTTCAAAAGAATGAATAAGTTAGAATTATGCAGTTCAGCTGACAATGGGTTCTAAGTAAACTATGGCTGCAAAATAATTACTCATCAAAATTCGAAGGTGTGATTTGAAATATGAAAATTTAGTTGTAAGTTATAGATAATATCTCGTATTTGCATCAAGGTTATTTTAATTCTTTTTACATTAAAACATATTTTCACTTAGTAAGTAGAAAATCTTCAGAATTATATGGTTCTAAAACGTTATTATATTCCTTGTGGGATTTTCATTTTTCAATGAGATTTTCCTTTCCCATTTCCTCCATGTTGCGCAGAAAGTTTCAATTTTTTTGTTCCGCCCGCCAACAATTGTTTGTTTTTTTGGGGTTAGGTACAGAACAATCAATATTTTTTGGGTACCAACAATAATTTATGGGACAATGACAGAAAAAGAAGCTGAAAATTATAAATCTCAAATTAGACTTGGTAACACGACTTTATTTGGTATTAACAATTCTGAATTTATAAATAATAACAAATTTTTCTTGACATTTTTTATTTGGTATTTATATATTTTCAGTTTTGTTTTTGTCATTGTCCCATAATTTATTTGTTCATAAAGAGTAGAGCGAGCTTTACCCCGACCAAAAAAAAAAAAATACACACACAAAAGACGCAGGGCTGAGAAAGAAGGCTAGTCCAACTCGCATCACCTGACATGTTGTTTGTGTGGGTCGAGTTGGGCTCGTGTACTTTCTTTTGACGAAAAAACCACGTTATTTGCAATTTGAGATAACAATTCTAATACTACCTCCGGTCCTAATTATAAAACCTAGTTGATTAATTTGAGGAGATTAAGGAAGTAAGTTAAGTTAGTTATTTATAACAAATAAGTGTTGTCATTCTAAAATATCCTTACTAATTAAGTGTGTTGGTTAAAAAAAAGAAGGATTATCTTGGGAAAAAATGCATAAATATGAGAGACAAAATGTTGTTTGTGGGTCGAGCTGGGGCGTGCTCTTTTAGGAAAAAACTACGTTATTTGCAATTTGAGACCGGAGGTATAATATATTAATATACGCAACAGGGTTGTATCTGATAAAATATGTTGATCCCTCACAATATGGACAGTCAAGATATGAATCTTCACTCAAAGAGATACCCGTATTTCAGTACTTAACAGTTTCAAATAAATTTATTTCTAATAAGTGGATAACCTTGCCTGCCGGAAAAAAGTCTAATAATTTACGTACATTGACTGACCCTAATTGACCGCACATGATATAAAGCGGAGTAATGGGGAAGAATATATGCATGTTGCCCAATTGAGTTTAATTAGCTCAATTATATTAGCCCCACAATTTGATATTATTCTCGCACAACAGAAACCTAACGTCCCCATCGAGATGGTTGGCCCTCAATTAATAAGTGACAGTACCTAAATGAAACTAACATCCTCAGCTCTTGAATGCAAACGGCATATTCATGTACGACGGAAGTAATGGATCGGAGAAAATACATATGGGATCAGCAAACACGGTACAGAAGAAATGTAGGTCGGTGGGGCTATTAATGTCTCTGCATTACACACACACACACACACAAACATATGTATAGGTACTGACTGCTTAGGAAAAGTAGATGGATAAGTTAATTGAGGACCAAAATTGCTTCTATATGATGTCCATACAAGTGCGAACTTGTGCTGTGAAAGCTGTCTGGACTTCACACTCAATATTAGAAACATACATAATAATGCAAGCAAAAACTTCATTTAATTTCTCTCAACTATATACATTTACTATAATGAAGAATTATTCTCTTTAGAATTTATTCTTCCGAAGAAGATGAATATAAGTTCGCTATCTGTTATTTAATAATAAAAGATGTCAACATCGATCCCTATTATGCTAACAAGCAAAATTCATAAGAGTGGCATCTCTATACATACAGCAGGACGCGTCCTCGCGTTTTGGTGAGCCTCTAATACTCATTCTGTGATGAAATCTATATCATCCAAGTACAATTTTAATTATCTAAATTTAAAATTTTAATTGATAATTTTTCTATTAAACAATTCTTTACTCTGATAAGTGTTGAAACTGATTTCTAATCTTCTAACCTAGTGGTACCAAAACTCTCTTTAATAATGTAAGAGTTTATGCGTCCAATCCTGTTTATGACTTCAAATTATTAATGATGTATACCTTTTAAATTAAAAATAATAATAAATTAATAAGTATAACAGTAATATTCCTCTGTTTCTAAATATAAAACTCATTTTGTAATACAATTTACACTGTAAAATGAGTCTTATATTTAGGATTGAAGGAGTATTAGTTATTCTAAATAATGTAAGTATTTCCTCTTGTAAAGATCTCATCTACGCACCCTTTAAATAGGAGTGGGCAAGTGGCCACCATGAGTAGGAAACCACGGCAAATTGTAGTGACACTGAGGGACCTCTAACAATCAATTCTTTGTATGAGTGGACTAAGAAGACTGCTCCGAACCCGAATCCGATATGCCTTTCTCCCTCTGCATGTTATTCACTTTCCAACATTATTTCCTTTTAACTTTGTTCCTTTCACCAAAGAAGCTACTAATTAATTAATTATAAACAGCTTCAGTCGCCCCATCTGGCTATATATAAACAAACCAGAAGAGATCATAACAATACTCGAACTGCATCTTCTCGTCTCATGGCTAACTGCTCAATCACAGTACAGTGCTTCGTCTTGGTGACGCTACTTCTGCAACTCCTCTCATCATCATCCTTGGCTTCTTCTGCAGTTACAGTCTCCATTGATGGCCACGGAGATTACACCACAATCGCCCAAGCCATATCAGAAGCTCCCTCCCACAGCGGCACAAAACACACCATTCTCGTCCGACCCGGAATCTACAAGGAACTTCTCCACATCCCACGAGACAAAACCAACATTCTTCTCATCGGCGACGGTCGTCATAATACTGTCATTCTCGGACACCAAAATGGCGGCACCTTGTCTCGAACAGCCACAGTAGGTATATATATGTATATGTATACATAATACACACGTACGTGCTTGTTATGAATTATTCAAATATGGGAAAGTGGGAAATATAACGAAACGGGGCTTGAAACTTTTCAGCAATTCACGGAGCGGGCTTCGTGGGCCAGAGTATAGCCTTTGTGAATTCAGCTGGGCCGAAGGCGGGCCCAGGGATTGCTCTGTTGAACGCGGCGGACAGGTCGGTGCTGTACAACTGCTCCATCGAGGGCTTTCAGGACACCTTATGGGCTTCATTGGGCCGTCAATTTTACCGGGAATGCCACATCTACGGCTCCGTCGACTTCGTCATGGGAAACGCCGCCGCCGTTTTCCAGAACTGCATGCTCTACGCACGCCTCGCCAGCTTCTCCGTTTTCACCGCCCAGTCTCGCGACGACCCTCTGCAACGCACCGGTTTTGTTTTCCATTACTGTCGTTTTACGGTGTCTCCTGGTGATGACGCCGGGAAGCAGTTATCCGGTGCGGGCAACGCTATTTTAGGACGGCCATGGAGGGCGTATTCGAGGGTGGTGATCATGCGGTCGTATATTGATGATATAGTGAGTCCAATGGGGTGGGGAGAGATGAAGGGGACGCCAACAGATAAGGTGACTTACGTGGAGTTTGAGAACGAAGGGCCTCGATCGAACACACGTGGGAGAGTGAGGTGGATTGGTGTTGTGGAGGTGCATGATAAGGATCAGGTGAAGGACTTCACTGTGTCGAGGTTCATAAAAGGAGATGACTGGATCCCTCCAACTGGGGTTCCATACATGGGAGGATTATAATAATTTTTTTTTATTTTGTTAATTAATATCTCAATTGAAACCCTTGCATGATCAGGATGTACGGATCCAAAGGAGAAGCAAAAAGGAGGGATCTAAGAATAGTTAGCGTAAAATATTATGAATATCCTTTTCTTCTTTTAAAGCAAACGGTGTGTGCTAAAGGCATCATATTCATAAGGTTTGATGAATATAATATAATTAATCTGAGATGTGTAATCTTTGGAGCAAGATTTTTTAAAAGTAAGGTCACCTTTCTATATATTTCTATGAATCATTCATCCTTTTTTTTGGGGGGGGGGGGACCAAATCCTTTGATAAATCGGGTTTACTTCATTTCTGTTCCTAAATGTTACTTAAATGCAATTAACCTAATTATTAAAGTTTGCAGCTAAAGAGGGGGGGGGGGAACTCGGACATACATAATGCAAGCCTGTATCATGGCCTTTAGCGAGGGAGAAGATAAAATTAAATCCGCCGGCCAGAAAAAAAAAAGTTAATGCTACCTCCGGTCTTAATTATAAAATCTTGTTTATAGTTTATAAACAATGTCTTATAATTAAAACATGAGGTAGTATATGATAACATGAAAATTTTGAAAGAAAGAAGCGCAGATGATCTGATTGATGGTAATTCTTCCAGGAATCATCACACATAGAAAAATGATTAAATTTAAATATCGTGGAAATTTTGGAGAAATCAATCTAATAAGTAACCCGAACTCAGTGGCCTACAACAACTAATTTAACATATATATATATATATATCCCCCTAAGCCACTTATATACATGTGTGTGTGATTTTGCAATATAGCAATTGAGCGAGTAACGTTTAATTAGAATAACAGTTGCAACTTGTGAGCCTTAAGTATGAATTAATCAAGGTAGGATCCTTGAGCACAGCTTGTGGGTTTCCATGTGTAAAATAGGCTGCTTTTTATTGGAATTAGTGGCAGAAGAAAAGGCTTCTTTATATATATATATATATATATATATATATATATATATATAGTGATTTGTCTTCATTAGCCCATTTCGGGGCACTGGGATCGATGCATAGTTTTGTGTGTGTGATCGCTTACACGTGAAACGGTGTGACCGTAAGTGTCGTTTTCGAACTAATCAGAACGAAACGAATATAAAAGGACCAGGTGCGGTGGTTGAGTCACACATCCATGAAAAAGGGTCTCAAGTTTTTGGAAAATTTTGGCTCTTTGGTTCATGGTGTGAAGGCAGGTAGTCTTGGCTTTATTTGTTTTGGTTTCTCTGTTACAATGGCATTCAGGAATTTGAATTCTCTATTTCAAGCTTAATTCAATTCCTATAAAACCCCCCGGGGGGACACTATTTATAACAATAATAAGTGTGTTAAATAAAAACCAATTAAACCTGGAATTTTAATTGAATATTCTACTTCGACCTAATAGAATATGCTGAATTTGTGTTTAGAGAACTTATTGTCTTTTTTTTTTTTTAATATGAGTTGCCATTTTATATGAGTAAGCATTTCTTTCACATTCATGTTCTCTTATAATGCAGGCAGACGGGATTTTAAAATGCATATCAAATAAAAAAGGAGTGAAAAAAATAAATCTAAAAAATATGTTTTTTTCAAAAACATTACTAGTATACTCTTAATTGCTTTAAAAGTAATTAATAAAAGATATAAAACCAATTGGTGCAGTCTTATTCGGTCGTTGAGTTTGTTAGTTTCACACAAATGGGAGTGTCATTTCATGTGGTGGTTACATTTATGATGTTAGCAACTTATAATCAAGGTATATTTAATTAAGTAGACTTGGAAAATTGTTGCATTGAATATAATCAGTTTCTCGGTCACTTTCAAAAGATGCCTCAGCCTTTGAAATGGAACTCTCTAGCTCTCCCTGGCTAGCCCGGGGTATCAAACTGAATGTGTATGAAGCATAATGAGCTAGTCAAGGGATATATTCATGTTCTGCAAAATACTACCTCCCATTCTTGATATAAAAACTTGTTTGACTTTTAATTTGGTCCTATAAGATCATAATTTATTTTATCTCTTATATTTATTCGTTTTTTTTAAGATAGTCCTTATAATAGTTACACATATTTCAAATTATAATTCTAGCTAATAAATATAATTAGCAAGGGTATTTTAGGAAAGAAAATGCCTATTTATTATAAGTAACTCACTTAACAGGCTTCTTTAATCTACTCAAATTAGTCAACTAACTCTTATAAAAAGGACCAGAAATAGCATGCAAATTACTCCTTGTTCACAGCAATACCATATGTTAAAAAATTCCCTAGGGATCTTGCTCTGTATATGTAATAATTAATTTTAAAAAATAAGTGGAACCATGACACATATCGTTATACTACCTCTGGTTTTAATTATAAGAGTTGGTTGACTAATTTGAGGAGATTAAGGAAAGAAGTTAAGTTAGTTATTTGTAATAAATATATATTGTCTTTCTTAAAATATCCTTCTTCATCAAATGTATTAGCTAAAATTATCATTGTTAGAATGACTACCTTAAAAAAATGTATAAATATGAGAGACAAAGTAGATTGGGTTCTTATATTTAGGATCAAAATAAAAGTCAAATAAGGTCTTATATTAAAACCGGAGGTAGTATATCATCTGAATATGCTTACACAATTAATTTATATTATATTACTTCTATCCTTAATATAAGACCTAGGTAGTTAACTAATTTGGAGATATTAATAAAATTAGTTAAGTTAGTTATTTATAATAAATAGGTGTTATTTTTCTTAAAATATTTTGCCAATCATGTGTATTAACTAACATTATTATTTGATGAAACTTTTAATATGTGCAATTATTACAATGAGTACTTTAAAAAAATAGATAAATATGAAAATAAAATGAATTGGTATCTGATCTTATATTTAGAACTAAATATTAAATGTTAAACTAGTCTTTATATTAAGGATAAGAGTAGGAAGTCACTTTTAATTATCTCTCTCATTCCATTCCTCACTGTTTGCAACGTAGCAAACAGGCACTTTCCTAAAGTTAGTGGCCAATTAATAGCTCACCATCCATACAGCACGATAAGTCAATAAAACTACTCCGCTCGGGGCTGTTTTTCCCTTCTCAGCTTCATCCTTTTGTTTATAGTAAAAGAAGTGAACAATGACAATAACCTATTTCCTCATCACTTCCACCACTCACGCATACACATCACGTTCAGATTAAAGCAAGAAACTAGCTAGCTTGGCTATAGGGTAGATATATACGTGTGACCACAGAATTAACAAACACTTTACTTTGATATAGCAAATTCATCATTGCGATCCATATGATCCAATGGCTAGCTTGATTATTACCTCTATATTCTGTTCCCTGTTTTTTGTGCCTCTTTCTTCTTCTTCTTCTTCTTCTTCTTCTCATCATCATCATGGAGGTGTGATAGTATCAAAGGATGGGGATGGAGATTATGCAAGTATCAGTGAAGCAATAGCAGAAGCTCCGAGCTTCAGTAGAAAGAGATACAGAATAGAGGTGAGAGGTGGGGTGTACGAGGAGTATCTGAGAATCCCACCCGACAAGACCAACATCATGCTCATCGGAAGTGGCAGCCAAATTACGAGGATTACTGGCAATCGAAGCGCTGCCACCGATCAAAGTGCCACACTAGGTAGTATTCATCTCTAACATCTCTCTATTTCTACGAGCCCCATGTCTCTCTACCCACGTATTTGATCGTTTCTCTTTTTTCACAAAAAGAAAGCAGTAAATATCAGATCCACAAGTGTTATTGATTACTCTTCATTATGTTATGGTTTGTATATATCCACGCCCCGCTATCACCATCATACGTTTCAAATAAGTATGTTTCAGCAGTTGAAGCCAAAATTATTAGGAAACCTCTCATCGATATTATGCATTTAGAAAATTTATACTGAAGTCACCTTTGCATTCAATATTTAATACTACCTCCGGTCCTAATTATAAGACCCAGTTGACTTATTTGAGGAGATTAAGGAAATAAGTTTAAGTTAGTTATTTGTAATAAATAAGTGTTGTCATTCCTAAAATATCCTTGCTAATTAAGTGTATTAGCTAGAACTATTATTATTATAAGGACTATCTTGAAAAAAAATACATAAATATGATAGACAAAATGGATTGGGATCTTATAATTAGGACCAAACAAAAAGTCAAACGGGGTCTTATATTAAGGACCAGAGGTAGTAATAGACAAAATGGCAATGATCTATATATTTGGAGGTTCTTTAATTATTTAACATAATACTTATTTGAAATGTAGTGCAATATAAGTCACCTACACTTGATCACCCTCAATACAAATCCGTTAGATTGTTCGCCCAAAAGGGTAAAAGAAAAAAGATGGATGATTCTGTTTATATGATGCATTTGCCCTAAGATTTCTTAGAGCTCGAAAGCAATAACCTGGATTTTTTTTTTAAAATTCTACGAGAGAAATCAATGGTATGTATATATGGCGCTGCATGATTTATATACACAGACATTACATTTTAACATTACGCACTTTGCTAGAATATTAGACATTTAGAAAAGTTTGCCAAAAGTTTTATTTTCATCATACTTTGGACAATGATATCATTTTGATGTTGTTCTTCTAATAGCTCACCAAAGATAACGTAATTGAATCAACTCATTCATTTATATAAATCAAATTACCAAATAAGCGTTAAAAGGATCGACATATAATTAACAAACTGATCTGATAATCAAGCTTGTTTTTTCAGCGATATATGGATCAGGGTTCGTGGCCGAAAACCTAGGGTTTGTGAACACCGCAGGGAGCGACGCCGGCCCGGGAGTGGCCGTATTCAACCAGGCCGATCACAGCGCCTTTTACAAATGTGCCATCGAAGGCTTCCAAGACACCCTATGGGCCGTCTCCGGCCGCCAATTCTACCGAGACTGCGACATCTACGGCACCGTCGACTTCGTGATGGGCAACGCCGCAGCTCTCTTCCAGAACTGCAACCTCTTCGCCAGGCCCAAGGACTTCGTCACCTTCACCGCCCAGTCTCGCTCCTCCGACCGCGAAGCCACCGGTTTCGTCTTCCAATTCTGCCACTTCACCATATCCGCCGAGGACGCAGATCGGAAGTCCGAGGTCATCAGAGCAACGTTAGGTAGGCCATGGAGGGCGTATTCGAGGGTGGTGATAATGGAATCGTACATCGACTCACTGATCGATCCGAAGGGCTGGGAGATCATGTACGGCACGGCGCGTACGGACAGATTGAGTTACATAGAGTATAAGAATGAAGGGCCAGGGGCGAAGACCGGCGACAGGGTGAAGTGGCCGGGGGTTAGGGTTGTTGACGATCCGAAGGAAGTTGAAGGCTTCACTGCTTCTGTGTTTGTGGACGGCGATATTTGGATTCCTCGACTTCGGATTCCATATTATGCAGGCTCTAGCAGGACGTTGATCATTCATATTCACATTTTAATTTTATTTTAATCTTGATTTAATTTCCTTATATGATTATTGTTGTGTTGCGTGTGTGAGAATCCAGGAAGTGATCCAATCCAACACTAATACATGCATGGATAGGTTGCTGTTAATGATTGGACATGATTAATTAGGTGGATAATATTACAGTTCGTCAAAGTCTTTGCTCGATGCATTCATTAATTGTCCTAATTTTATGACCTTTTTTTTTAAAATTTTTATGCTACCCTTGATCCTGCAGTTATTATAATTTTTAGCCAATTCATAAGAATTTAAAAAATGCAGTTAATTTAGGTAAGTGACAATAATTTTATGACTAATATTCATAATTAACCTAATTAAAAATAATAATTAAGGACTTTTTTAATTTTTAGAAGAATGATTGATGCAATAAACAATTTAAAAGGGGCGTTAAGGTGTGCTACGGTGTGAGTATATCAACATACTACCTCCGGTCTTAATAATAAGCGCCAGTTGACTAATTTGAGGAGATTAAGGAAGTAAGTTGAGTTAGTTATTTGTTCTAAATAGGTGTTGTCTTTCCTAAAATATCTTTGCTAATCAAGTGTATTAACTAAAACTATCATTGTTAGAATGGCTACTTTGAAAAAAATATATAAATATGAGAGACAAAGTGGATTAGGGTCTTATATTTAGGATGAAAATAAAAATAAAATAAGGTCTTATATTAAGATTGGAGGTAATATTGTTTAATACAATAAAATTATAACTCAAAAATTACATAATGGATTTCTCAAAATCCACATAAATATATAAACACATCGATCAATAAAAGAAAGAGCTCCGACAGTTGACTTACGTGCTATATATACGCGTCATCACTGGACAAAAACATATGAATTAATTCGATTTCGAAAATTTGGTCATTATTTGCGAGTGTGTGTGGCTGACCCAGGATTGGACGAAATCCTAAGGAGGGCTTGGGAGGGGAATGATAATTGATACTCCTCTAGTCTTATTTATACTCCTCCGGTCCTAATTATAAGACCCAATTGACTTATTTAAGGAGATTAAGGAAGTAAGTTAAGTTGGTTATTTATAATAAATAAGTGTTGTCATTCCTAAAATATCCTTGCTAAAAGAATAGACTAATTGACTACATTATAGAAGGATTATCTTGGAAAAACATATGAATATAGAGACAAAAATATTAGGGTCTTATATTAGGACCAATAAAATCTAAGGGGGTCTTAATAAGGTATAAGAGAGGGAGAAAGTTTTTTTCTCCTATTTATAAGTCACTTTATTAAATTTTCAGTGTAAATATATATTATTTTGTCCTTCATTTATTATGACGTAGATAGTTATCTTTTTTAAAAGTATATATATTAAATATATGTAAATTTAAAAAATTACATATTTTAATAAAAAGTTAATATATTTTAAATTTTTCTCAATTTATATAAAATATGTTGGAAGTATTTTATACATAAGACAAGAAGAATGAATACTAATGAGAATCAGATTCACGGGCGAGAGCCAACTTTGCCAAAGTTTGTTGATGTGGGACAGTTTTTATGGGCCCCCAGTTTGTGTGGACAGTTGAACAATGCCAGAAAAAAAGGAGCGGCCTTGTAGGGGACAACTCAGACCTCATTGTGTGCGGATCGCTTTTGTTAACAATAATAACACAACGTAGATCTTAATTATAAATAGTATTTATAGATTATAAATAAAATCTTATAATTAAGACAAGATAGTATATGTAATACTACCATGAATTAATTTAATTACAACTCATTTCAGAGGTAGAGTTTTATATAATTATCCGATCCTTAATACAAGATTTTGTTTGACTTTTATTTTAATCTTAAATGTAAAATTTCAATCTACTTTGTCTCTTGTATATATGTATTTTTTTCAAGATAGTATTTCTAATAATAATAGTTCTAACTAATATATTTGATTGGCAAGCATATTTTAAGAAAGATAACACATATTTATTACAAATAACTAACTTAACTTATTTTTTTTTTTTTTTAAATTAGTCAATTAGTTTTTATATAGCATATACTATCTCCGATTCTTAATATAATTGTGCATATTAAATATTCAATCAAATAATAGTTCTAGTTAATACATATGATCAGTAAAATATTCTAAAAAAATAATACTTAATTATTATATATAATTAACGCAATAAATTTTTTTAATTTATTCAAATTAATTAATTAGTTTTTATATTTGTTTATTTACTTCTTTCCAAATTGAACGGGTAAAAACCAGAGAAGCAGACGAAGAAAGTCAGCGCCGCTGGAAAAGTGATGATACAAACCGTCCATTCGATTGGCAAATGGGGATGGCAAGTGGCCATCACGGGCGCTCTCTGTCTTTATTCTTTCGAATGATGGTTCCCTGAAACTGCTGACGGCTCTGCATTGTGTCGACCCCACCCGTCCCCATCTCCTCGGAACCAGGAGCGCGTTGCCGGCGCGTGGTTCTATAGAGGGCCCTCCTGGATCTCGCCAGGTTACCCCCACACTACATTACGCCAAACAAAGCGAGATCTCCCGTGCAGCCGCAAGAACTCTCTCCATCTCTCTACTCTCCTCCTGTACTGTACTCTTTTTCTATTTTTTAATTCTTAATCTCCCTAAAACCCACCATTACACTCTTCTAGATTCCTCCCTTCTTCCCTCCCCGACTTTGTATTCTCTCTTCCTCATTATGCAACTTCGCCTGGTGGGCAGCGTAGCTCAATATTTGACTCCGGATTCCTAAACGCTAATCACGAAGTCATGGTTTACGCTGCAATTTCTTGCGACAACCCTTTTCTGGGGGCTCTCCCTAAGCTCCATCTATCGCCCAAGAAGTCGAGTTTTTTATATTGCTCCAAGGCGCCTCTGCTTTGTTATCAGAACCGTCAAAATTCTATTGCCATAAACAAGCCCACTATCTTTATAAACCCAAATCAAGAGAATGTCAAGAAGGAAAAGAAACGCAACATGGTGTATGAAACAAAAGAGAAGAGGGGATTTCCTCAGGCTGGCAGCAGACAAATGTTGCTCTTGTGTGGGTTGGGATATTGGGTGCAGGGGTTTCGGTGCTTTCCGTGGCTAGCTCTCAACCTTCACATGGCCAACAATCTTAACTTGGACCCCTCTACATTGCAGCTTGTGCAGAACTCTGGTAATCTTCCCATGGTGGCCAAGCCCTTTTATGGAATCCTTTCTGATGCCATCTATATCGGCGGTGCTCGTAGGATACCTTATATTGCCATTGGAGGTAAGTTGTCATATCTTTATGCTGTGTCTTTTGCTTTCTTCTCTTTGGTTACCGCCAAGCTGAAACCGTCATTTTCTTGTGTATTTTGCTTTGCCTCAATACAATAAACGGCCAATGAGGAACTAACCTATTCATAAATAGCTTGAGATTAAGGGAAGGGATTCTCATGTTTTGATGATATTATTTTTGAATTTTCAATTTCTTATAAGTAGAGGAGCTACAATACGATTTGCGATAGAATGCAAACTATAGTTGATTTTTATCATCGTTTAATTCATTTTTCCTTTGTCTTCAGTGATATTCAACATGATTGACAATACTAACTCCAAATGCTAGAAGTCATGAGATTTGAATTGACGACTGAAGCATGCGCAGTTTTATACACGGAACATGAGGCATGAATTGATATTTAGTATATAACTTGGAAGAGTATGCTTATATCAGCTTTAAGTCCGTGTCCATTAAGTATAATGGTGTCCTGAATGAAACTTGTGTTATTAAATGGAATATACATCTTGATCCAGGATGCTTGCTTAGTTCAATCTTTTCAGTTCTTTTGCAGGTCCTGTCTTGGGGATCTCTGGCAATGATCCCTATTGCAAGGCAAGTACTTCCTAACTTAATTGCGTGTGTGCTTCTCAGCAATCTGGGAGCATCTATAACAGAAGTAGCGAAGGATGCTCTCGTGGCAGAGTATGGCCAGAAGCACAAAACTGGCGGCTTACAGTCATATGCGTTCATGGCTTTAGCTGCTGGTGGAATTCTAGGCAACCTGATTGGTGGTTACTTCTTGAAGGAAATGCAGCCCAGGACCATGTTTCTTATATTCTCAGGTTTACTCTCTCTTCAACTTGCAATTTCTTCCTCGACAAGAGAGAAATCTCTGGGCTTGCCACAAGTTTCAGGTCATACTTTTGCTAGAAATCAATCTTCGAAGATATCAGAAATCAGCTCTCTAATCTTGTCACAGCAATCAGCGAAGAAAGCGTTTCTGGCCCTCTTAAGTGGATTGTCGGATCTATTGCCATGGTTCCAATACTTTCAGGCTCTATCTTTTGTTATCAAACACAGCAGCTAAACCTTAATCCTTCAGTATTTGGGTTGTCTCGGGTGATTGGCCAGTTGATGCTTCTATCAGGGACTGTTCTCTATGACCGCCACTGGAAAAAAGTTCCAATGAGGAAACTGATAGGGATAGTGCAAATTTCATATGCTGCATCTCTACTGCTTGATCTGGTTCTGGTAAATCAGATAAATCTCAGACTGGGAATCCCCAATGAAGTGTTTGCCCTTTGCTTCTCTGGTTTTGCAGAAACTTTGGCACAATTTAAGCTCCTTCCTTTTTCAATGTTTTTCGCAAGCGTATGTCCACAGGGCTGTGAAGGTTCTCTCATGTCTTTCTTTGCATCGGCTGTATGCCTTTCATCAATAGTCAGTGGGTTTTTTGGCGTTGGATTGGCTTCTCTGCTTGGTATTACTTCTGGCAATTACTCAGGCTTGACCATGGGAATTCTGATACAATTCGTTGCAGCTCTAGTTCCTTTGAGATGGATTCATTCTGTACCTATGTCTCAACCTACTGTTGAGAAGGGAAGGAGAAGAGGTATGAATAGAAGAACTCGGAAACATAGAAGAGTTGGAAAAGTTGTTCTTGGTTCTATTTATGCCTATCGGCGTGAAAGAGAATCAGAGATATAGAGGTGAAAATAGGTCATGTTTGCATCTGCACTTGCTCTGATCATGGAGAGGTGAAAAGGAAATGAGTGCCCTTATATGTGCCTCTCTCTTTTGATCATCTAAAGATTATGCAGGAACTATGTGTTATCAATGGTTCCGACAGATAGGCCTCTGCAACAAAGGGAGGATATTTTCTCCATGCTGGACAGTTCTGATCTTTTTCCCAACACCTTTTCACCTGTGATTATTGAGCGGAGACTGGTCCTGACCACTTCCTTCAAAAATGTTCAGATTTCATCATTCGGCCTCGTGATTTTCTGCATGGCTCAGCAATCAACGGTCCATAATTGATGGCGTTTTCCATCAATTCGTTGAGGGATACCCAGAAATTTTGGTCTTATCCAGCAATTGGTATACAAGAATCTACGAACCTCTCTGGGAGCCGAGCTTTACTTCAAGGTAGTGGTGGCATCCAAAAACATAATTAAGAAAACCTCTGAACCTTTCACATTTGTTTAATTTCTGGATCCATTGAAAATTTCTGAGCAGGTTTGGTAGTTGGTGCATGCCTGTTGGTGGGATCGGCATTGTACATTTTGCAGTATTGAGAAAGAAAACGTGAGAGCTATGAAATTTCGAAATAGCAGAAAGATGCCCTTCTTATAAACTGGTTTCTCTCAGATTTTCCTATTGATGAATCCCATCAAAATCTTATAGGGTCCTTTGAAATAAGCACTTATGTCTGTGTGATTGCCGATCTTCTTCCTACCACTGCGATTATGCACAGCATAGCCAATTAAACTTCGTAGCCCCCGTTCCAGGTGTAGATATGCCTACCCCCCCCCCCCCCCCAAAAAAAAAAAAAAGGCGCGCGCACATATTCTCATTAAGTTTTAGTCTTACTTCAAAGGAGTCAGAATACTTCAAATAGATGGCTTCATCATGGTCCTGGCTCTGCAGATTAGAGAACAGCAAAATTTGGGGCTTTAAAAGCTTGAGGGTAACATCAACCAATCAAGAAACTACGTTCAAAAATTTCTGAGCCTGAAGCATTTGAAAAACCAGGGTTTAATTACTCTCATGATAATAAAAAAATAAAAATAAAAGAGAAATGAATACAACGAGAAGACGTGGGCTCATGCCTTTGTGCATAAGAAGGGTTGATTTCATAATGCAAACTCGTGCATTGGCCTCCGCTCGCTCTGCGTCACGAAGCTGCTCAGGATTTCAGCCACCAAAAGTCCACAATCTCGTCCTAAAGCAGTAGAGTTCAAGCAACAACGGTCTTTACTTTGAGTTAAGCAATGCTCCGAGCTTTCAAAGCAGATCTTTTCAGATTCTCTCTGTCTATGCGTCAGAAAATGAAATAAAAGAATGACTCATCGAGGAGAATGACTTTAAGTGAGATTAGGAAACGTTACCGTCTTGAAGTTCATCTTTAGAATATTAATAGTGATTAGTGTGCCCATCCTTTAACATACATAGCTTTTATTTTAATGGTGATTGGTAGCATCTGACTAAATTTGCGGTTTAATGTTTAAATTAATCAATCATATTTAGCTTTGATCCTTCATAATAAAGACACAATTACCTTTTGAGAATGATATATTTATCGTACCATTAATCTTTTCGCTTAACAAATCATACATTGAACTTTTCATTTCTTGCATTAAAAAAAAAAAAACACCCTTCTCATTTCTAATAACTAGCTTGTTCTAAGTGTCTAATGAGTAGATTTAGAAAGACCTAACAATGAACGAAGCAGAATGTTGTTTAATCCTTTTCATCTTCTTCCCCCCAAAATTTTGAATCTCCTTTTAACATTAATACTTAAAAGTTTCGGAATAACACACATAAATGAACAACGAAATTGATACTATTCAAGGCACAGGAAGCCATGAATATCAAGCAACAAGTAAACTTCATCCGGCAAAAATCAGCAACCACGACTTTCATAAAGCTTTGTTAACCAGAAACTTCATTGATGAAACCTTCCTTGCGACCTTCAAAACCAGGCCGCATCAGCTTTTTCTCCCGCTTTGCAATCCTCCGCATTTTCTTCTGATGAATCCTCTCACCTATATGTTCGGATCTTCTTTGTTGTTTCTCTGCTTTCATTTTCTCCCTGGTATCAATTCTCTCCTTCCATTTCTCTGAATTTTTCTGTTGCCTCTTCTTCTCTTTTTTTATGCTTTTCTCTAACAGTTTGGGATCATCATGAACCTTAATTCCTGCAGCCCTGTCCATCGCTGCTTTCCATGATTGCTTTTTTGCAATAACCTCACCTTTCTCGGGATCTTTCTTTGCTTCTTCTACTTTTTTTGCCTTTTCAAGTTCCTTATGTCTTGACATTTTTCTGTTTTTCTTCCCTTGCCTTTCGTCATTATCGAGTTTGACATGACCAAACCTGAGGTCTTTTGAAGCCTCCATAGCATCCCTCTTCCTTTTCTGCATTGAATCACCATGTTTAGGTTTACTTCCTTCATTCCCATCATCTTTCTTACGTTTCTTATTCTGAATCCCTCTCTTCGCATTCCTCTCGTCCCTTTTCTTTTCTCTATTGGAACTTCCACAGTTACGATTTGCCCGAAACTCTTCAATTTTGCGATGAAGCCTTTGTCGAAGTTCTTCGTATGTCACTGACCGATCATCATCTTCAAGACCTAATGTTAAATGATTCGCATCCGTTTGCTCATCATTGCTTTCATTCAATTTTTCTTTGTCCAAGCTTTGTTTAAGCAGGTCAAGCGTTGTTGCACTAGGCTTATCTGGGTCTAAACGTTCTCTTCGAGATTTCTTGATATTTTCCCTTGTCTCTTTCTTAGCTGCAGTTTTCTCAGCCTTACTCAGACCCTGAAACCACGGTTTCTCATCATTAATCGGTAGATAGAACTTGGCTGGTATAAGCTCAATTAACTTGTCAAAGAAGAGTCTGTGCTGCTGAATCATAGACTCCCAATCTTGAGCATTGGTCTCCTGCAAAGACTTTTGCGTTTTCTTCTTCATCTGCATGGAAATAATGTTCAGGGAAGGTTTGAGTGTAAATCAGAATGTGGTTCAACATTACTGGCATATTCTGAAGACAATATACCAGCAATCCCGAGTGGAAATTTAAAGGGTCTATATGAGCTAGAGAAGATGGGCTGTGAACTCAATGAAGTACTACTTAAAGGAAGAATGAGTGGAAATCAAAATGTTTCTTTCCCAAGACCTACAAAGCTTGAAATCCAGAATTGCTCGAATAGATTGTTTATCCAACCAGTGGCTTACAATGCCTAGCAACAATTAAAAAAAAATAAAAAGAAATAAAAAGACAGGAATTCATTAAGCAACGCCAAACTTTTCCACGTCCACTTCAGTGCTAATAAGTAAAACGTAGTGAGAAGTTATTTTTAACAAAAAAAAGGCCAAAGTTAACACTGAAGTTCAGAAGAAAAAAATTGAACACGGCACAGCCGTGAAGTTGAAAAGGGTACGGCAGAGCCCAAAAGAGAATCACCAGTAACCAGGTTCGATTTTTAAACAGAACAAAGTAAGGAGGAAAAAAAAAACCTGAAGTCGCGAAGCCGAATTGAAAGCTGCGATGAAGTTAACACCTGAAGTTGAAGACGAGAGAACGCTCTGCGGCGGGCTGCGAGTTTGCGACACTGACAGTGATGAAAAAAGGCGGCTCCCGCCGCCGCACAATCTTTAGGGTTTGGGATTCAGGGCAGAGCAAGGTTAACGAAGTTCAGTGGAGACTGCAGAGCATTCTTTTTTATCAGCTTGCCGCCTCGCCGTTCCAGAATCGTGCGCAGAATTTTTTTTTCCCCGAGAAAATTTCCCAAAAAAAAAATCTATAAAATTTTAAATTTTCAAATTAAAAATTATATAAAAATATATTATCATTTACTTAACAAATATAATCAATTGCTATTATAGTACGGCAAACAAGACTAATTCAAAATTTTAAAATTCAAAAAATATTTTTTCAAATTTTTTTTTTTTAGAGATTTTTCCAAAATTTTCCCACTTAAAGGAAAATCTATGTTCTATTAGAGTGTGTTTATATATGAAAAAAATGCCACTTAACTAATTTCTTAAAATTAAGATAAATTATTTAAAATCATACAATTATCTCTATTTTTAAAAATTTTTATTCTTAATATGTAGAAGCAACTTAGATTGTATGTCAATTATTAACATATGGATTTAAAATTAAAAATAATTAGCTAATTTCATATAGTTATATTTATTTTAAAAATTTCAAATATTATAAGTGGTATACTAAATTTATCATAAATAACACCTTAAGTTAATAAAATTTGGTATGATTACGTGAGAATATACTAAATGGCGCCGCTTTTGTCCATGTATAGCAACCTCAACTCAGTTTTCACTCAAAATAGTATCCATTCATCATAATTGATTTTAAATAATGTAATGTCAATAAAAAGTCAGTATTCTTGAGATGGCCAAGCATCCAAGCTACACCAGCGATATAAATACTCTTGCTCCCAAGACTGTCATCCCTCCAATATCAGGAGATCTCGGTGAGAATATCAATATCCAAACAACCATTTCCTTTCATTACTGATAAGAGGTCATCCAGAATTTCATAGATCAAACTTGAAGAAGGATGTGCTTTATCAGCAACATAAAATGAGCAAGTCTTACCGCTAATTGTTATCCAACTGCAACCTGGGACCTTTCTTAAACCTCTCTCTTTCATCATTGTTCTCATTTCAGCAACAACATCCCATCTTCTGTGAGAAGCATATAAATTTGACAGTGAGATATAATTTGATGGGTTTTCAGGTTCTAGCTCTAGCAGAAACCTATAAGCCAGGTCTCTAGTCACTGAATTCCCATGCATTATGGAAGAACTTAAAACAGCTCCCCAAACACTTGCACTGGGCTCTATGGGCATTTCTCTAATGAATTTCATGGCTTCATCAAGTTGACCTGATCGACCTAACATATCCACCACACAAGCACAAATCTCGGCTGTTGGTTTCATTCCATACTTAGTTATGAATGAGTCATAGATACTAAGGCCTTGGTCTACCAATCCTGACTTGCTACAAGCTGAAAGAACACCGACCAATGTTATCACATCTGGCTTGGCTCCTAGCTGAAGCATTTTATAATACATATTGACAGCATCCTCCCCCCTCCCATGTAATCCATATGCAGAGATCATTGAACTCCAGGAAATGGAGTCTTTGTAGAAAGCGCCATTGTCAAATACCCGTCGTGCATAACTCAAACTCCCACATTTAGAATACATATCAATCAACGCGTTACATAAGGAAACATCATGATTCAAATCCATTTTAATTGCAAAACCGTGAATTTGTTTCCCTCCGGTTAATCCAGCAAGCGAGCTACAAGCTGGAAGCACGCTCACTAGAGTTACCTTGTTGGGCTGAATCCCTCCTTCCACTTGCATTTCATGTAGAAGAGACGCTGCTTCTTCGGGTGCTCCATTTTGTACATAACTCTTGATCATTGCCGTCCACACGTATACGTTTCTGCACTTCATTCGGTCAAATACCCGTCTGCTGTAAGCGACTCTGTTACTTCTCGAGTACATATCTATTAAAGACGACCCCATATGAACATCTAAGTCCATCTTTAATTCCAGTTCATTCTTCACAAGAAAACCGTGAAGTTCCATCCCATAATCCCATCTCCCAGTATTGCTACCACACGCAGGCAGGACACTTGCAATTGTATAAGCATTAGGCTTAAACCCTTCATTTTGCATTCGCCGAAAATAATTCCATAAATCTAAATGGGACACACAATCCTCTGAGGCAGCACATCCTGCAATGATACCATTCCAAGAAGAAAGGTTCCTCTGAGCCATTTCATCGAACAGCTTCCTAGCTTCACCTAATTCCCCGCATTTGCAGTACATTGACATCAGAGAATTGGCTAAAACGACATCCGAGACAAACCCAATATTTACACTCTTGGCATGAATCAATTTCCCAGAAATCAAGTCCTCAGTCTCAGCGGAAATCTTGGAAAGTGTAGCAAGAGTATAGTCATCCGGCACAACATTAGTACGAATCATTTCGTGGAACAACGCAAAGGCTTCATCAAAGTCGTGATGCTTGGCATACCCATTAATCAACGAGTTCCAGAGATAGATACTCTTGAGAGAAATGGAGTCAAAGACGAGTCTTGAGCTGGATAAATTTCCGCATGTAAAGTATGCAGAAACGAGTCGAGTGTAAAGGAAAGCGTTTTGGCCAAAGCCCAGTGCTAAGATTTGAGCGTGCGATTGCTGTGCAAGTTTCAGGGAACGATGATGAATCGAGAGTTGAAGCAGATCAAGGAGATGCAGAGGCGAATGGAAGACAGTGGCAGAAGTGTAATAACGGGAAGTTGGGAAGGTAAACGTCCTATGGAGAAGCATAAGATCAGAATAGCCTTCGAGTTTGCTGTTCAGAGCAGAGAACACCGAACTGAAGCGCTTACCTATGGAGAATGCGCACTGTACTCAGATTTTTATGTTTCTTCGTTCATGAACTCGTGGTTGGGTGCAAAACGCCTGCTCTGATGGCGCACTTTCCATGTCATGCGCCCAAAAAATAACGTATGGATTGAATTATCCCAAAAAAAAAAGAGGGAGAAATTGATAAGCATATTTAAAAATTAACAGCTCTCAAGTCTCAACTGGGCTTGCTAAACGGACATCGTGGTAAATCGGCTTCTCAAAAATAGCCTTTTGTAACCAAACAAGGGTTGCTTTTTTTAGGGGACAAGGCAACCAAATATACGCTAAATATTTCGAGAATAATATAGAAATTTTGTAACAAAATTAAGTTTTTAAATGTTATACCATTAAATATACTTACGCATACAAACATATCAATAATAACTGAAACTTGATAGTGGGTGGCACTGTTACTAAGCAACTTGTAGTTGATAAAATTAAGTTGTTCTGAAACATTTTACAAAGAAAATCAATAATTGGAACATGCTAGATAAGGAAAATCAATACATAATGTGTTTTGAAATATATTTCCAAAGGTATAGGGCATGCATATCGAGACATGCACGTTAACGTTTTTAAGTATTATTCCTACTGCATAGATTGAAGGGGTATTAAGGACCTATTAGCAAACATATTTTTAGCGGGGGAAAAGATTACCTATCGGAGATCAAGGGGAAGGGAAAAGGGCAAAACAACGGATGCATAACACATGGAAGATAGACTGCTGATTTTTCACTATAGATCCTCTTTCTCAAATATATTTTTTAATAAGTCCTTGATCCCAGTTTTCCCTAGATTCAAGATTTTTTTCTATGATTGCATATTTGTCCCTATAGTATTGGATACGCTGGCTATCGGGTGAATAATTTAATAAATCTCCAGACAAATCATTTTACTTCCGATGAAATATGGGTAGCATCGAGCCTTACACACGACACTGCCTCAAACAAAAATTCAATGTAAATAAAGTTCTTGTTCACGTGAGATGAACTATAATCATTAATATTCTCTTTAATCAGAATAAACCTCTGAGTGTGGCCAAAAAAACAAAAGTGAACTCTTGAAGTACAGATACTAGCAGAATGTCAAAATCTGTGATATACTGCCATGTCGATGAGATAATTAAAAAAAAAATGATATCATGAAGATATGTGAGATCTAAAGAATCAAATTCCGTGTTCATAAATCTAAGCCAAATCCCAGAATGATTGATATGAATTACAAATGATAAATTAAAGAGCATGTTGTACTATGTGTGCCTTAAACAAACATAAAGGAATATCATGACAAAGATGTCTGAAAGAACTCAACATTTGAGTTGTTCCAGCACCAAAAGGAGGCTTTGTTTAAGGGATATTTTATTCACTAAGTGCGTACTTTATTTTAATTGCACAACTTTCCCGTTGCAATGATGCAATGAGTACTTCATTATTTCTGAGTGCTTTTTGGAATTTCAGTTTGCTTTTACAGCTTCTACCTCCACTTGGTTTCAGACTACTGCAAGAGATAAAGGCCAAAAGGGCCGTGAATCACTTGTAAGATTATGTAAAAGAAGCCTAGTCTTGTTCCTTTTTTCTTCATTTGTCTTCCAGTACCCTTTATGTTTTCCCAGAAGGTGGAAAGCTGCTGAACTTGATCTTGTACTATATCTAAAAACAATCAATAAAGCAATAAAGCAAAGTTCATTTCAGTTTAAAAGCAAAATCAATACACTTCACTGACAAATAACCTGCCTTGGGAGTACTATATGCTTCCTTAAGTTCACACCACAATACAATTAATCCAAACTCCAAAGCTCCTGGTTTTTGGAGCTTTCCCGTCCCATATTTAAACTTAGATATCATTTTCAAGTGTCTGCTACAAGTTCTCCATTAGAACTACCATTTTTGAAAAGAGTTAAAAATGTGGTCCAAGCTTGTAAAGTTGTCCACATATTGCACCTTATTTAGAGAACTTGAAAGTGAAACCCTCGTGAAACTTTATCACAGTTTTGTCCCTAGAATATGACTAAGCTAATCAGGAGAACTTAGGCAGACAATAAACTTCTAGCAGAAGGGGGCAACTAAATTGTGTAGATTGGCTTTGCTTGCTGCACTGAAATTTCCATGAAAATCATCCAAGTTCCACAGGCCATCCCAGAAAGTATCATCATTTGAAGGTTCTGATGCAGAGGCATTGCCATTGAGCATAGAGTAGAAGCAGCCTTGTTCTTCCATGGTGTTCTGGTACATTTCTTGCCTCCAAGGCATAGCCACTCTATGATCATTTTCCTCCAGGAGAGCCATAATCCCTTTGATGTCCAAGTTAAATTGCAGTTGTTGTTGCTGCTGCTGCTGCTGTTGTTGTTGCTGATGTTGCTGCATTTGCTGTTGTTGCTGCTGAAATTGTTGTCTCCTTATGAGGCGATTTTTTGCTTTTTCAGCAGAATCAGGAGAATTTTTTGCCTTCTTCTTGAAATGAGTCCTCCAGTAGTTTTTAATCTCATTGTCGGTTCTTCCTGGTAAACTTCTTGCAATTGTTGACCACCTGAAATTTTTTGAACCACCAATAGAAAGCTCAGTACAAGCTTGTACTTTAAAAAGTCCCTACACTTTAGAGGAATGACAAGGAAAATAAACAATCAAGCTGAAGAACTTAAGATGAAAATCAAACCAAAAACATACCTGTTTCCCCACCTAGCATGCAGCTCAAGAATGATACTCTCTTCCTGAGGTGTTATCTGACCCTTCTTGAGGTCAGGCCTCAAATAATTCACCCATCTCAATCTGCAGCTCTTCCCATTTCTTTTCAATCCTGTTTCAGGCAAAAAGATGGAATAAACATCATCATCATTATCTGTTCAGAAACCTTAATTCTTTTGGCATCCATGTAAATAACTCAGGTATAGCTACTTAAATCAGTAGAAAGCAAGTTTGGCTGCTCTGTAACCATAGTTAGTCTGCAACTTGTAATCATCAAAGGAATATGAAAAGATGAATAAAAGAAGAAGAGAGAGAGATTAAAGTGACGAACCTGCAAGCCTAGAGACAGAATTCCATCTGCCTTCACCATGAAGCCGAACATATTCAATAAGCAATCTGTCTTCTTCAGCAGTCCAGGGACCCTTCCTCCAACCTTCTTCCTCTATCATATTCATGCCCCAACCCATGTTGTTCCCAGCCATGCCTCCCCAATACATAGCTAACAAAAACTCTTGAAAAAGTTACAAACTTTTCTCTTTTTTCCCCCTTTTGAGATGCCAAAAATGGCTTTACAAAGTCGATAACTTTTGTTCAAAACTGTCTTCTTAATTCCTTGCACTGGTTTGGAGCTTGTGTGCTTGCTCCATATTTATAGTTGTAGCTAGCTATGCCTCCCACTTTATGTCATCTCTTTCCCGTCACTGTTTATGGTATGGAGGACTTTTTTTTACGAAAGAAATCTGAGATTTTTCTTTACAAATAAAGTGTGGTTTGTGCCGATATTTATATATAAAAATGAAATAATCGGATCATGTAAAGGATTCATCATATTTTTGAAGTATATAATAATCAGACAATCTGATTACATGATCTATGCAGTACACATACCATTAATTTAAAAATATCATATTTTCTTAATGCTGGAAAATTTTGAACAGGAGTCCAATTGATCTTAGAAAAGCATGCGTGTCAGTGTGTTGAAAGAGACCAACTTGTCCTTTTTATGTAGTCCCATTTATTAGCCAAAGAAATTCTTTTCCCATCATCACAAGAATGAAAGGAAAATTTTTATTTTGAAAGACAGTTTGGATTGTATAAAAATAGTATAAATTTCATCTGAAACGCATATTTTTAGTTACAGAAAACACATAATTAATATCCCTCACTATACATAATAAACTATATTATTTATAAATTAACTAGACTAGCACAAGTCAAGTCTAATTCTACACTACTACCTTTGATCCTAATTATAAGACTTTATTTGTAATCTCGTTTGTAAACTAAAAGCGATATTTTATAATTAGCACCAGAGTTAGCATTGATTATGAGTATATATATGTACTCTATATTCCGGCAAAAAAATAAAAAAAAAATATCTATACTCTATCCGATTCTTTATATAAGTTAGGTTCTAGAAGAAATCTGTGATATTTGTATGTCTACCTGTGCATCAGTGTTTGAGATATTTACTACTCTTCCTATTTTTAATATAAGACATATTTAACTAATTTAATTAAATTAAGAAAATTAAGTAAGTTACTTAATTATAAAAAATGTGACATGTTTTTTTAAAAACACCATAATCATCTTCTTTAATATCACCCATCTTTCTTACTTAATTATGGTTAAGAGAGTATCACTATGAATAATTTAAAAAATTAATAAATATGATAAATGGGTTTATTTGTTTAAGAAATACATGAAGGACTAAAAACAATTCGCTAATTAAGTTCTATATTAAGGACTAGAAAAAATATATTTGTTTAAGAAATACATTTATTGCAAATTTGCAAAGTAAACTGGAAAATTGCAAACTAACTTAACTTTCAGATCATCATGAGATAATTAACTTTACTTAATTATGATGAGATAATTCTTATTAAGATGATAAACTGTCTCGTCTTAATAAAAAGAACCTAAGTTCAAATCCAAAAAACGTATTTATTGAAAGTACTCTGATCAAGAGATTAATCTCAAATCTCAATTGTCAAGTTGAAAACCACTTGGAGAGACTCTGAGCTTAAAAAAATGTTATAGTAATGCTCAATTTTGAAGAGGTATGCATCAATACAAGACAAAAAAAGGAAGAGAGATGGAGGGGGTGAGGGACACGTGTGAGGGAGGGCTGCTGAATCCGGACAGGCGGACACAGCCCAAAAGGAAAAACTTGAATGACGAGGCACGTTTGATAAAATTAAATACTAGGAAATGAATGGGTGGGCTTTTTTATAAAACTTTGAAAATTACAACCTGCCCAATGGGCTTTCACCACCTGTGCCCTGTGCCCTTTCCTTGTTTCTCCCGATCCGCCTTGTGGCCGTGGATGCCATTTTGGGGAATTGGGTGTATTAAATATTCATGTTCTCCATGGCGTCTAACGCCACGTCGGGGACAGGTGTCCTCTTCTGATGTATTTTTGGAAAGATTGTGCTTCTCCAACCGCCGGAGGCATGAATCTTCCGTGTTTTCATGGGCAACCCATCCCCTGATCTCAAATTGTTTCTGACCCGTTTATATATTGAAAATAAACTGAAACACTACCATATAACTTTAAACATGTGTTGAAATTGCAAAGCGTAATGCACAAGCTGACAACCTACTGATAACGTTTTTATGGTCAAATTTACATATTTATTAGTACTTTTTTCGATTTAAAAGACATTTTTTAATCTATTTGAAAAACCCAAAAAAAAACCAAACTGTTACTAATGCCAATTATATATTATGGTATCCGAAAAATAGAAACAAAACGTAAGTATTGAGTTGACGGCAACTCCTTTGTATACTTTTAATTTAGAAATGATTTATGAAGTGAAAACATTAATTCCAACCATCTAGAACTAAATAAGGACATATTCCTCTATATATTTATAGAAAGAGATGATTTTTTGTTTCCTTATTGATAAGTCGTATCATTAAATTATTATGCACATACATTGATTCTTCATTTATTATAATATATATGTTTTGAAATATATATATATTAAATAAGAGTAAAGCAGAAAAGTTGTAATATTTTAAGACAAAATTAATGCAATTTAAAATTTGTTTTAATATATGTAAAACACTAAAACATGCTGAAATTGCCAAATAAATAAAGCCATACGGGTGGATAATAAGATAAAAATGAGAAAATAGCCAGCACTAAAACTCAAAACTCAAAACTCAATGCCTAATAATGGGTAAAGGAAAATTTGTATGCTTATACTTTCGAAAATTGGTTAAATTTAATTAATTCGTTTAAAATGGGAGGTACCGAATGGGTGCAGGTACGTAGCTGTTTTTGAAAGACAAAACATTGGTCTGATTTTGAGACTCCCTCAGGAGTCGCGTCCTATTCGTTTTATCAAGCTTTTGCTTGCTTTTTCATTGTAAAAAAATTAATTAATTCGTTAATTAAGAAGCTTCCTTTTTTTTGTTAACTTCTCTGATCTTATCATTAAGAAGCTTCTTTCAATTTAACATGAGTGGGTTTCTTGATACGTGAGTGGTGATGGTACATAATTTTTTCGAAAATTCATAACCCAGGAAAAAAAATATATATAACCGGTGTCATTATTTAATTCACTGGCCATTATATTTAATTTAAGACAAAAATAATAATCACAAGCAGTACATCACTTGTTTGCTCTAATAAAATTATTAACCCTCTGATTGCTTTGTCCACTTTATGGTTAATTAGATATTGAAGTAAGATTACAGTGGAAACTACCAGAAACGAAAAATCCATGTCTAGTACGGAGAGATCATCACAAACAATAAAGTGAAAACCCTAATATTTATACACATACTTGTATTACTTAAACACTCTGTTTAACAGCTAAGCACATTTGGGCAGTCATCAAAAAAATTTTCAAATTAAATAATTAAAAAAATAAGTGGGTGATGATCGAGAGAGATTCACGTTTGGTTCCTTGTGATGTTAACAGATTCTACCTCGCTATATAATATTTTCCTTATGCCGGGTGTGTTCCTTTTGATGAGTGGCTTTTCAGTATAGATTAGGATCAAGGTTTCGGGATTTCTTTGTGGGGGACCCACTGGAGTATTTAATTTCAAATGTGCAATTAATAATTAGTTGGCTTTCGGCTTAATTAAATCGGATATAGGCCTGTGAGGTGTGAGGGTTTCTAGAAAACCAGCCATTAGCTAATTGATTCATAATTAATCTGACCCTCTCGCCTGTTTAATTGGGAACCTGCTTTAGTTAACTCCTAGAAGCATCTCAAAATTTTTGAGATCATCAGCCCTTAAGAGATGACTTCATTGACTAGGTCATAAGGCTCAACACCAAATTTTTTATAAGATTTAATTCCGTGACTAACGATTTATGATCATCACTCCCATTATTTAGTATTTTGTTTTTTTTAATTAATTAACACTGACATGAAATTGAAAAAATGGATACCGGATGACAACTTTTCACATGCTATGAATGAATAGCACAATTCATTAATTCCAAATACTATACGATGTAAATATGTTTTAAAAAAATATTACTGTTTGCATAAAACCATTTTTTTAAAGTATTTTTGAACAATGCCAAACTCTCCTTAAATCTTTTATATATATATTTTAAGTTAATATTATTAGTCTCTTTAAAATTTGACTTTATTTTGATTTTGATTGTTGAGATTTGAAATAATAGTTATGGTCCCCAAAACCTCAAGCATACCAAAATGAAATCAATTTCAGAGATCAAAACTAAATGATGTCAAATTTCAAGAATCAAAACTAAAACAAGGTTGGATTTTAGAGTTAAAGATTTTTTTTAAAAAATCCTTTTCTGAATGCCTTTTGGACTTCTGCTATATGCTTTGCTTGTGAATTTCTCTTCAAGAAGCAATGCTGAATAATCTATCTCATAATCTGGGTTTGATACACAGGATTTGGGACCCATACGTACTAGGTTTATTCAAGTGCATTATTAATTTATCATGGACGAAGATTTTGAAATCCATCACTTAATTGCAACTTGCAAAAAGCCTTTAATCCTTGGCTGTTAGCACTTTTCATGAACTTCCCTTTTTCCCTGTGTAATTTTCACTATCTTATAGTGATCTATTCAAAATATCTACTTTCCGGCTCTTAAATATAAAAGTTAATTAAAATATATACTCTAATTTTAAACAGACTCCAATTAACTTTATCTTCCAAATTCATAAATATTTTCTAAAAGATTCTTACTAATTATATATATTAAAAAAGATCTTCATGTTGGGTAGTTTTCACAATAAACAGTTAAAAGAGTATTATAAGAAAAATAACAAATATTTTTTTAGAAACAATTAACTCGGCTAATTTCCATGATTCTCGTAAATTAGTTATCAGTAATTCATGCATTTAGAATCGCATGATATATATATATATATATATATATTATATATCATCCCAAACTTACAACTATATAATATTATAATTAAATCACATATTAGCCGTATTATAGTGAAAAAATACTACAAGACTAATCAATATTGAGTTTAATAGAAAAGACTAATTTTTCACAATTTGTCAAATCAAGATTTCAATCTCATGAGAGATATGCCTGCATTTAATATTTAACAGTACAGACTTTTAAAAAAAAAACAGAGAGGATATATAT